CATTCAAAGCTGCTCACCCCTGAACATGCCTCCCGCATGCTGCACATCACCTGCCATCCAGGGACAGAAGGAGGTGACTGGGGGGGTAAGACAAGAACTCCCCTGTTCCTCAGGGGTACGACAGACTGTCTCCTAGTCTCTATCCCCGGCACCCATCATGTAGCTTGTCCTCACAGAGACCTGTGTAAGCCACCTCATGACATACCGGTAAGACTAGTTAGCACAGCCTATCATGAATCCATCCTTCCGGATGTTGAGAAGGCCTTTTTCCACGCAGAAGTCAAGCTCTCAAATGGTTCAATGCATGTTGGCCTACGGGCAAGCTATGGACCTCATCGATCAGCTTACCAAAATCGGCCCTGTGCGACTCTTATTCAAATAAATTCTGGTGCGCCACTCCTGACAAGGTCAGCGTGGATGCCAGCTCGCTGCTGCTCGCACCAAACAACCATCACAAAAAGCGCGGCCCCAAGCCATAGCCTCCCTCATGTCCTGCGTCGTCATTGGCTTCGCCAAGCGGATTGCACGCTCAGCAGATTGCTTGTGGGAGCAGAGGGTCTGGCCATTGTTGAGCTCCAGATGGACCTTTGATCGCAGTGTCGCAATGTAGCCGCAGGGCTCTGGGAACGGGTTCCTGAGGGAGCTGGTCCTGAGAGTCGTGTCAACCCACGACCTCATACCCGATTCATTGATGATCCCCGGAATGTCCAACGAGCGCCTGCAGCTCTTCACATAGGCCACTGCAACATCCCAGCTTTCCTGGGCTAGCAGCGCCCGGAAGACACAGCCCCCAACACCTGCTCGGTGGCGCCCTGATAGGCAATGGATCAAGGCCGACTCACCTGCATACATCGTATTGCGCAGCAGAGGCCAAACTTCTTCGAAGTCCCTGTTCCTCGAACCACCATGGGCCACACACAGGTGTTTCAATAGGGCATCTGTGAGCACTACTCCTCCTCTGGATGATGGGGCTTCGGCCATGCACGCAATCTGAAGGGTAACTCCCTCCGGAAAGCGGTGTGCCGTGTTCCTGGTTGGAATTCCACTCAGCCACAGCTTGCCCCCTGCCCGATTCTGATAAATAAGGCTCGGGCTCTCCGCTGTCTTGCCGTGGATTGTCGCCAACCTGTCGAACTTCTGGTCGGGCCCTCGAGTATCCAGTGCCTCTGGAATCGGAAGGTCCTCCTCCTCAACTTCGACTTCTTCTTCTTCCGAACTGGTCACCAGAGCTGGTAATGGTGCCGGAGGTGGAGCTGGGGCTGCTTTGGCCTTCTTCGCTGGCGGTGCCTTAGACGGCGGCCCTTGTGGGGACCGTGGGCGCCTCACTGACGCCTTAGGAGGGGCAGCTGGCTCCGGAGGTCGCTCCTCCGTGGATTTGCTAGTAGGCTTGGCCTTAGCAGATCCCGAACCAGGCCCTTCGCCAGCCATCTCCTCCACCTTGATGAACTTCTTGTCATGGCATTCACATGCCGGATGTCCTCCACCGCAAACTCGTCCAGCTTTGCGCAGAATGGCGCATGCATGGCGACCAGGGCACACTTCCTTCTCCAAGGGGCAAGACCGTGTCTGAAAAGCTCCACAAATGGGTGCCCCATTCTTCATGAATGCGCTCAGCACCTTCCCATTGAGAGATGCCGGCATCGCAGACAGGCCACCCTTGGATTGTGCCTCTTCTCGTTTGGCCGCGGCCTTGAGTTTGAGCGCCTCCGACAACTGAAAGCGCGCCTGCATCTCAGCCTTCGTCAAGGGGGCTGCCCAAATGACCCTGGATTCCTGCTTCAGCACCTTGTCCACATTCTGGCGCGCATACTCCAGGGCCTCAGCGTAGGTCTCCGTTGGGATAGTCTCCCATGACTCATGGGCAAGCAGCTTCTCCATAGCCAGCCGCACAATGTGTTTGGTCCTCAATGAAGACTCATACCTGGCTGCACTGTAGTGCATAGGCATCGTCGCCTCCTTTGGGATCTGGGAGCGATCTGCCCAGTCCCCCAATGAGCATAGCTCGAGAGGCGTCAGCTTCATCAAAGTGCCCACTGTAGGTGCTGCTCGCCGCCAAGAATAGGAAGACAAATCCTCTGTATTCTGGATCAAGTGCTCAAAGACCTCACGATTGAGCTCGTTGACGAACTTCAAGGTGTATGCGGTGCCCTCCGCATCAAAGCATAACCCTGAGGTTGCTTGCTTCGCCTTGTCCAGACTGCTGTAGTCCCTGAATAGGGCCGAGCCCCAAGCCCATCCGTTGACGAATGTGGCAGGAATGCTGAAGGAGAACCCGCCCCTGTTGGCCTTCTGCTTCCCCTTCGTGCAGTAGCCATGAAATGAGCTAGGGGTCACTTTAACTGGCCTGGCACGCATGATGTGCTGGTACCGCAGGACACCAAAAGTAACCAGCCAGCTAGACAGTAAGCCCCTCCAACGCGGGTCCCCTGCTTCGTACAACGATTGAATCTTCTCTTCAAGCGCTGCAATCATTGGGGGCTCAACTGCAACAGCCTGCTCTGGGTTTGCCTGTTTGGGTGGATTCTTACGAGCTGGGACTGGTACATCACTGAAGTCCCATTGCAAACGGCCATGTTTGGAGAACCACTTCAAGGAGTGAAATGCTCGGTAAGGCCCCGACGTGCCATTCTGCAAGAAGCCATAGAGGTCCAATGCATCCGGTGGGAACAAGCGGTCCTTCTGCTCCATGTAGGCCCGCAACTCAGCCCAAGACTTCAGGGCATTCACCACCGTCGCTCCTTCGGCCTCTGTGACCTTCCGCTTCGACAAAGTATCCAGAGCGTCCTGCCACTGAGCGTACCTCTCCGGGGTCAACTCCCCTTGAGGACGCATGACCTTGGCCTGGGAAAAGGCCTTCCTCAGTGCCGCAGCTCGCAGCAGCACCGTCTCTGGTTGGTCTGGGCCTGGCCGAACTCGAAGAGCTTGGACCATCTTGCTCTTCTTCATCATGGATGCCTTGGGCGCAGGCCATGTCGTTGGCCGATCTCTGGAGCCCGAGCTCTCAGCCACAGCAGCTGCTTGAGGGATGAGGTCAGCTTCGACAGTCTTGGATCGCGCTTGCAACCACGCATCTGCCACATGGTGTCCTCCATGTGCCACTGCGCTGTCATAGGATGCAAACGCATATGCAAAGTCAGTCTCATCATGTAGTCCCCATTGAGCTCGCCACTGTTCGACACGAGTGGATGCCACCCTCTCCATCGCCGTCTCTGCGCAAGGCGGCGCTTCACCAGCAGCTTGCACCGCATAGGCGCCTGGGTGGTACGCCATGGCGACGCCTGACACCACCGCCGCCAAGGTCCGGAGCGTACGGGCTGGGCCTGAAACTGCAGGCCAAACCTCAGTATCATCAGGCAACAAACAAACATCACTAGGCCGCAGCTGCTGCAGATGGGTCTCGACGCAAGACGGGGTGACATCCTGGACACTGGGAGGGTGGACAGGTACTGCACACGGAGGAGAAGCACCTCTCACAGAGCTCAGGTGTCGGCAGTCCACAAGCCCTGCAAGGTGGCAAGGGTTCCTCCCCAGCCTCCATGGCACCAAGCCAGCCCCATAACGACCGGACTGCTCTGGCCCGTGGTGCTCTCCACGCAACCAGGTCAGCCGGGATGGGCACCAACGATGGATCCCTCCATCGACGCTGTGGGGATTGCCAGGTCCGCCACACGTCCCACAGTTCGGTGAGGTCGACCATGCTATCGGCATTGTGCTCGATGAAGGCGACCAAACCAAAGATGTTGTCCGGCGCAAAGTCCCGAGACGTCCAATCAGTCCGCAGCGGCTCGATGAGTAGCAAATCCAGCCTCGCCTCACCCAGGCGATCATAGTAGGATTGCCACGCACGCCGCGGGTCACTCCCGGGCAGAGCCAAGACAGCTGAGCTGTTCCATGTGCCGATCCAAGGGAACTTGAATCCTCCCTGATACTCAGTGCACCTCCTACAGTTTTCGTCCATACAAGGTGACCGTCTGAAAGGGGGAAGTCCCTGCACCCCCAACCCAATTGGATGTGGGGGGAAATGATCAATTTGGCACACAGACGCCCACAGTCGGGTGGCCTGGGCCACCATGCCCCGTTGGAGCAAGCTCTCCACGTGCGTCTTGAACTCGTAGTAGGCAGCAGCATGAAGAAGCTCCGCGTCGGTGTGGGCAGCCTCATTCCACCCGGGCCGGACGACAACAGAGGCCCTGGGCATCGGGGGGTGACCTCCCACCTCGTAACCTCCGTACTCTAGGGTAACTCCCTAGTAGAGGAACGAGAAAACCACAAACCCTAGGGTAACTCCCTAGAAGTGGCGTGGGTACCCCAGCAAAAGAAAGAATGATGAAGCCAGTTTGGCTCAGACTTGAGCCAAAATGGATTCATCAGCTTACATACTCACCCTAATGATAATGCACACCCAGTGCCTGCCAAACACGATGCATACATATATTGTTATGATTGTTATTCAGGACCCATCGTGATAATAGGGATTTCAGCTCCAAAGAAATGGAACGCAACTAGACTTTGCCAGAAAAGGCACCCATTCAGCAACATCCGATCCAGAGTGTCAACAGCTTCATCTTGTGGAGTGTGAAATTCTCATCAGAAAGATCGTGAGTCCCGGGACATATATCGATAAATCTCTCTATATATATAATATTATAGTTCTAATTCATTCTAATTCTATGTATATTTGTTTTTTCTAGGCTGGGAAATGGTGACTCTTTCGAAAATAACGTGGCGATCATCATCTCATGTTCAGGGAAAATTAAATGAACATAACACATATCAGTCTGATACCACCTTCAGGGAACGTGTATATATATATATATTATGTATATATATATATCATTCATATATGTGTTATATATAATATATATAATACATATATAATACATATGTAGTATATAATATATATTTTATTGACAACAAACATATATATATATATACACATGAATTATATAGAACCAATGCCACCAACCAGCAATGTGGCTACGCCTTTTTTTTTTTCGCACCTCCTCAGTCTCTAGGGCCACGCGTTTGGCCTCGGTGAGCTTGGCACTACTCCTGGAGACGAGGCTCATGGTGCCATGGTGCCATGGGTTGGAGCTGAGAAGTTGCAAAGCTCAGGTCAGTTGACTCAGTTGACAATCCAAAATGCTGATCTTTTCCATGATTTGACCATGAAGAACTGGGGATCTAAGCACCAAAAAGGGATGAGAAACCACGAATCAGAGAGGTTGGGACCGCGGAGACGTCACGGAGACTACCGAGTCGTTTTGTCAACCATGGGGACTTGGGGGGATAAAACACCAACAGAAATACGGTGATTTAGCACAGCAACCATGGGGATAAAACACAACAAATAACTGGAAACTATCATCCAACCATGGGGATTTCACCATGACTATCCTATCATCCAAATGTTGATCATCCAATAGGATATCCTATCATCCTATCATCCAACATTGGGATTTCACCAACAATTTTGGGATGACTGGAGGACCCCAGGCTATCCTATCATCTCAAATTAGTCATTCTTGCACGAGATACCAAAGGGATCCAAAGCTGATAAGGGGTACCCTATTTTAAGAACCACTTTCTGTGCAAAGGAAATGGTGTTGCTGTCGTATATGATTTTAAGGTAATTCAAAGTTGGTTTCCAGGCTAATTGGACATGGCCATTTCACGATGTCTCCACCATGATCTAAGGCATATCGAGTGATATCATAGATCAATGTGGGGCCCCCGTTGGATAGCTAAGTTGGAATCTACATTTACATATACCTACAACAACTGGGATAACTAGGGGGCTCTTGTTGGCTATAGGGGTTCAGTCACTATCTTGAGAGAAATTCATATAACGTGCAGGATCCTCTCGGATCCAGGCCGTGTTTGTTTCTCACTCAACCACCAAACATGTCTTCTTCCCATCGCCAAACGTCCGCGGCCCCAACAACTTGGATTTCCCCTCAAGGGAAAATGCAAAAGAAAAATCGAAAATCCTGACAATGGTAAATACGGGTTATATAATGAATGGCTTGATCATGGGATCATATTAATTCCCAATGACTCTTGGTGATTACAGTGGTAAAGATATGGTAAGGCTTTTATTCTCCTATTCTTAACAGCAACTATTCCCCACTCATCACCAACAAGGACCTGAAATGAATATTGATAAGGCTATTTTGGAATGATCCCCCAAATCCTAACCATTAATTCAGGGTTCGGGAGAACAGGGTTGGGTCGTGATGAAGATCTTACCCAGATCGACTCAGCCTGACGAAACCCACAACGCCCGGACGAACACCGCTCCTGTCCATCATTTCGGTGGCTGCTGCCGCGCTTGACCGCTCCGCCACAGAGCTCGCAGAGCTCGCGGAGCCGGAGGATGTGAAGAGAGCCCTGCCATGGGAATTGGTGCTAGTTGATAGTCAATTGATATTACCCTCTGGTTATTCAACATAGCCATGGAAAATGGTCCATTTATAGTGGATAGATGGCTTATCCATGTTTATCCCATTATTAATATCTGGTTGGTGGTGCAATAACCATCTTGAAAAATATGAAAGTCAATGGGAAGGATTATCCCATATATTATGGAAAATAAAAAATGCTTGAAACCACCAGCCAGATATTTAACGTTTTATAATGATGTATCAATCTATCAATTGACTATCTATAGTTTTATAATGTTTTATAACTGATTGATATTCAACTTATATGCATAATATGGTTGCAGGTACTTTGTATCTTTATGTCTCAAAAGTCATTGAACGACAATCTGGTTGTTTGATGTGAATTCGAATGTTCATGTAATTTGAATGTTCGTTCAGTCTATATAATTGCTGTGTTCTTTCAAGGCGTCAAAAAATGTACCATAAAATGTACCATCCCTCTTTTTTTCCAAGACATTCCCAGCTTCGTCCGCCTGCGGTTCAAGGCTTGCACTTCACTTTCGAGTTGACTTCGCATCGTCTTCACCTGCGACAAATTGCGGCACGGCATGGCCTTGGAGAGTTGTGAAGCGTCAGTTGTGAAATGGCACCCTTCCAATGGTCAGCCCCAAACAATAGGGGCTTAGTGAGGCCCTGTTGGGGTTGGGGGAGTAATGCCTCAATAGGGCCACATAGGGGTGAGCTTGGGTGTGTGTGCTAGATTTTCAAAGCACACTTTTAGTCTCTTTAGTGAGAGATGGAGGAAACACATGTGGTGGCATATGGTATACGCTTACTTATATATGCTTGCCCCACATTTCCAGTTTTGACGAAACTAACCACTTGGCCTTGGTTAAGGACGCGATTTGTCGTTGCTTAAATACCATGCCTCTGGCCAAAAGGTGCAAATCATCATTTTGCTTGGTTTTCTTTGTACGGTCAGTACATCTTTCTTGGTTAAACTGCACCCATGTTCAACCTGCAACTTGGGATAAACAATATCTAAAGTTATTTTAGGCATTTACTTTTCGATTTCTCATTCTTTTGCCGACATCAAAGGGAAAGAGGAGACGACGAAAAATCTCAATCTGGTCTATTTCTCAATCTAAAAACAGATGCCATGAAACTCAATCTGGCATTTCTCATTAAAAACACATGCTATTTCTCAATCTGGGAAGCTTTAAACCCCCGTGAGCAGATTACCGTCCTGGAGGATCATCCCTGAGAATTTCCTCCCCACGTCCCGGTCCGGTCCCGATGTCACCCAGATCCAATGAACGAACAGCTTGGGGACCCCATGAAACTCAACTGGTTGGTGGTTGAGCCAAAGATATTACTGGTTGGTTTCTTTTCATTATTCACCAAAGATATCTGGTTGGTGGTTGGTTGAGCCACCCCTCTGAAAAATATGAGTTAGTGAACGTCAGTTGGGATGATGACATTCCATTCCCAACTGGATGGGAAAATAATCCATTCATGTTCCAAAGCACCAAGCAGCTAAAGATAGAACATATATTGAGGTTTTCTCCAGTAATTCCAGCTGATTGCTTCTATTTTTGAGGAATAGTATTTAATCTATATAACATATATATATATATATAAACTATACAACACATGGGGAGTTCCTAAAATGGGGGGTAAGCCCAAAATCATCCAAGTCATGGATGACCATTTTAGTATTGAAACCCATGGTTTTAGGGATCTACATTTTAGGCAACATCCAATAATATATAGTCCTTTCCCCCTAGTATTAAACAGCACCTTAGAAGCCATGGTTTAATAAGTAATTTCAACATAATTGGGACCATAGAATGGTTGTGTTTCTTATTAGAGGGATGAGATTAATCATTAATCTACATAAAAGCCTATTTTCTAAGCCTATTAAAAAAACACCTATAATCATATACAGTATATATATATATAATTATATATATACACACTATACACACTATACATTACATACAAAATCCCTATAAAAGCCCTATCTCCCTAGCGGAGAAAATCCCATTCGCACCTCCTCGTCCCAGCCGCCAGCCCAATCATCCCAGCGACGTCCTCCTGGGAAAAATCAGCGGAGTTCATGCGCAGGAAACAGTTGACAGATGGTTTATCCATGTTTATCCCATTATTTCAATGGCCATTTGAGGAACCTAAATTGGAGGTACCTACCATATATAAGGCCTATGCAAGGCCTATGTAAGGGAATATCCCCAGAAAATATGGCCTTATATGGTACAGTACCTCCATTTTAGGATCCTGAAATTCCCATTGAATGTTTATCCCATTATTTATAGCTGGTTGGTGGTTTTAACCATCTTGAAAAATATGATAGTCAATGGGAAGGCTTAACCCATATATCTATCCCTGTTAAACTAACATAGCTACATAGCTATTGAAAATCACCATGTTGAATAGGTAAACCAACTATAAATGTGCAATTTTTCAATAGCAAACTGTAAATTACTAGAGGGTAATTCATCCCTTAGAGAATCCCCATATGCTTCACGGTTCAATCCCCATGAGGGTAACTCGTGAATAACCCATAGCTGGTTGGTGGTTTTAACCATCTTGAAAAATATGAAAGTCAGTTGGGATGATTATCACCAACTATTATGGAAAAACAACATGTTTGAAACCACCAACCAGCTAGGGTTGACCAACCATATTTAATGACAATCCCCCTTCTCGGAGCGGAATTGATTTGAATGGGTATATGGAAAATCCCCATGGAATATGGATAGTATATTTCATGGGCAGTATGACAATGATATGATATTTGATATGAGGGATTATGATTTGTTTGCTATAGTTTTACAAAAAAACGGGGGATGTCTGAACATGGTGATCGCATCCAACCTGGTTGGTGGTTTGAACCCCTCTGAAAAATATGAAAGTCAGTTGGGGTTACTATTCCCAATATGTGGAAAAATAATCCACATGTTCCAAACCACCAGCCAGCAATATTTCGAACATTGGGATAGCATCGACAAAAATATCAAAGAACCACAGCGAAAATACCGTCCATTTGCCGCTCCAAAATTTCCTCGCCGAGGAGCTCTGAACACCAGAGAGCTCCAAGCGATGTTGCCTGGCGAAACTGTGAAAACGTCGGATGCAGTCGTGTAGTTGTGAGTGAATAACGTACGTATGCCCTGTATATTTATATATATATATATGTATATGCATATATGTAGATATGTAATATATGATCATGTAATATATGATATGTGTAGATATGTATATCTAAACACTAATAAATACATGATAATGCAAATCGTTCACATTTAATAATATTGAAAGAAAGAGTGCATATTGTAAAAATAGCACACCATTGTACCTATATATATATGTATATGTGTGCATTATGTGTATATATATATATATTAATTCAAATTTCACTTGTATATATATATATATACATCTGTATTATATATATATATATGTAATATATATATATACATATGTATTATATATATATATACATGTATTATTTATATATATATATGTATTATATATATATATATTTCATATGTATTATAAATATAAATATGCAATCTGTGTATATATTTAGATACAGTACATGTTGACATAATATTTGTATCAAAATATCTACATGCAATAGAGAGTTCAAACCTCTTGCAAGTGTTTAAACCACCGATGGAATTGCCAAAGCTTTCTGCCGAGTCACAGTCGAATCTGTCTCCAGTTGGATTCCATCTCGGCCTAAGCCAGCTGGATTACGACACGATACCAACTGACGGCCCAAAACCGGTCTAACTGGACATGTCCTTTCAAAGATACCCTCCGGTAAACTAACACAAGTATGGACAATCGCCATGTTTAATAGGTAAATCATGGGCCACTTGAAAGTAACAGTTACAGTAGTACATAAACACATAGTTCAAAACTGTACTCTCACAATGCCCATAAAACTACCCAGCCAAATCTTGCCCCACAGGTAGTACATCGAACAGCATTTCAAATATCCTTAGGCAAACACAGAAATTCAACATCCCAAAAAATGATCCTCAAGAAACTCATCCTCACAACGTTGATCAGATTCATGGACCTCTGTACCTCGAAGAAATACTCAAATCACGCATAAAGTTAAAGATGTTAAAGAGAACGGGCCATGTTTAGTTCACCCAGAACCAATTTTTTCCGAGTGGTTTTTTAAGTATGAGAGACCCCCAAGAATCCCATGGTTTTCCTCGTCAAAACCAGTGAGTTCCCCCACCACAGCCCTTTGAGCTGCTTGTGCTCGCTCACTGCTGGGTTGTGCCTGAGCTGTGTCCCAAAAATCTTGGGGGTACTCCATTTTAGCAACCCCCTAAAACGATAATTGGTAAAATCTAATCCTGAAATAGTGGTAACGTCACTTCACAAGGATAGAAACGCACAAATTCTACTAATATAACTGGTACATATATATATATATACATATATATATATATACATATATATATATACACTAAAATAGTGATAATTCATGATAATGCGTTGTTCTCTAGCAATGGTATAAGGTATCCTGCGCATTGCCACGCAAAAACAAACTCGGAATGTCTCCGAGCCTCACCACTAGCAGCTGGTGGAGGAAGATCTGAAGAATCGGGTTTGAAACCCTAGGTGCAGGGATTTACCCCATGTTCAGACACACCCATCTAATATATATATATACATCCCTATTATCGCCTTACTATTCCTAGGAAAACGAAACTACTAAAACCATACCAGGTTGGAAGGAATGCAAGGCTGTCCAGATAGGAACCAACCCATGGTCAAGTTTTCTGGGATAGTCATGCCATATATGGTCATCCCACCATCATTACCCTCTGGTAATTTAACATAGCTATTGAAAATCACCATTTTTAATGGGAAAACTCACTATAAATGACCATTTTCAATAGCTATGTTAGTTTACCAGAGGGTAAGATGCTTTTTTCCTAGTGGCCATTGCGAATCCCTATGGGATTCGCTATAATGGCTCCGAGATGGGCTGCATGGGAGATTGGAGATTATGAAGTTTTAAAGTGAATGGTGTTCATATTCCAAAAGAAATCTTGTCGATGAGACATCCCATATCCATAAATCCCTACGATGGGTACCCTCTGGTTATTTAACATAGCCATGGACAATGGCCCAGTTATAGATGGCTTACCTATTAAAAATTGTGATTTTTCATGGCTATGTTAGTCATAACCGGAGGGTATCATGCGTGGCTCCAACTTATGGCACCTGCAGAGACTCCAAGGCGGCCCGAGCGATGCTCCGCAGGCGTTCAAACTCCGCGGCGTACCTTGGCACACTTTGTGTGGCGATGAATCCCTTCCCATTCTTCAACAGAAACATACAGAAACCCCGGTGGTCTACTCAAAGGTGACTAAAGGTGACTAAGGGATGTCCAGCCAAACTATGGTTATCATTCAGGATATGGCTACAATCCAAAAAGGACAATTTTACATGGTTATCATTACCAGCCAGTCGCTTAAAACTAGTCGCAGTTTTCTGATTGAAGACCACAACGTTCAGTTCGTGGGAACCTATCCGAAAAACATCTTATCCTGAATAATGAAATAAGACTTGGAACAGCAATAATAAAAAAGGTGGGGCAACCCCGTTATAAATGGGCTATAATCCCATGAATACTATAGATTTATATCACCTATAAACCATAGTTATTGGACTTATTTGCACCAACTTAGCTAATGGGCACCACCCTGTAGGGTTGAGACTCCATACTACGTGTCTTTGAGTCAGCCAACAACCAAACAAAAAAAAGGGGCACAACAGGTGTGCACCCACCGACTTGGGCGTACCAAATCTTTCTGGATAAGATAACCTTCAGGGTATGTTGTAAATTCACCAGGAAAAAAACAAACAAACATATATTTGGGCTTGTCTGAAAACGGGGTATACCCCCTATTTCATGCGACATTTCATAGGGAAAATTGAGGGGCAACTTATGATTTTTCCGAGTGGCCTTTTAAAGGTGTATACCTGTTCCTCAATCCAGGTAGCCCATCCAGCTATCTTCGGAATCAATGGATTTGCCAATATTAAAACCGTAGCAAGGAGTATATCACCCTATTAGTCAACCATCAATCAACCATCAATTGTCAATCATATCATCTATCCGTGTTTGATGGTTAACAATGGTTAACAGTACTATCTTTGAACGATATTTTTTTTGATGTTTATCATGTTAAGTCCCTATTTGAAAATTATCGAAATGAACAACACTCAACCCTGGTTCATTGAATTCTCGGTCGATTGAAGTGTCACATCGAAGCCAACAATCCAGGTCAAATCCTTAACTCCGCCGCGAATATCAACAGAAGGGAAATCATGGCAAGATCTGGATAAATATGATGATCAATTGTGATCATCCACCCGAAATGTTCGGCGATTTTAGAGAGTTACCTTCCAGAAATCAAAGATAGCAATTGGACATGCCCTACTTACTTGTTCTTCCCAGCTATAAACCTCCATTTACCAAGGATTTTCCCATGCTTTCCCATATTTTCCTATGATTGTGTCCCACTAAATGTGGGATGTTCCAGGGCCTCGTTTGCCAGCCACAAACCATCCCCACATTGATTTGATCAATGCGACCCACATGTATCATATTATACAAATCCAACATATTATCCCAAGTGATTATTATTATACAATATATATATATATTATATTATATTACTGTAGCCATCCTTTGATCATTTTATGACTATGCAAATCTATGATAATCTTAAAGTTATTATAAGTTATTTAATATTATATATATAATATTGATATCCCATATCCCATGATTAATGATACCCTCTGGTAAACTACAGTAACATAGCTATTGAAAATTGTCATTGTTAATAGGAACACTCACTAAAAGTTGGCCATTTTCAATAGCAAACTGTTAGTTTACAGTGACTCATTGAAGCATTTAAGTGAGTATTTATCATTTAAGTGAGCATACCCTCAGTGCCACTCATGTTAATAGCAAACTGTTATTTTACCAGAGGGTATATCCCAGTAAATCCCATAAAACCCCATTAAATCCAATTTAGTCACCATAAAACCCCATTAAGTCACCGTAAACCCCGTTAAATCACCACAGTGGCTCCACATTGGCTCCGCTTTTCGCCAAGCGACTCATCAAAGCCCCCAGGACCACCCCGATCCAGCAGGGCCGTGCAACCGTCCTCCTTCGGTGTTCACGTGGATTTCACATCTTCCGACATCAAAAAGGCTCGGAGCAAACAAACAAAATATGGTTAGTACTATGGTTAATATATGGGTAATATTGTTTCTTAGTACCATTGGATAGTACTATACAATACTATATACATCTATACCATCTGGTTGGTGGTTTTTTCCTACCCCTCTCAAAAATGATGGACTGAACGTCAGTTGGGATGATGACATTCCCAATGTATGAAAATATCCAAATGTTCCAAAGCACCAAGCAGTAAAAGTCTGACCATACTTTGCCAAGCAAATAATTGAAAGTGGGGATTTCACTGGGAGACATTTTGGGATTGAGGTGGATTAAACACAGAACAATGAAACTTAACCAAGAAAAGATTGGGGTTCAGGCAGCAATAGGATTCAGAATGTCCTAGCTGTCCTAGCTAAGATGATGACCCTGCCAAATACAAACTTGGAAGACAAGCCTTGCCTCTAAAAAGTGCTGATTGTCAGGGTGAAACTGTTTGTTGGAGAGGATGGGTATCCGCATTCAAAATGGCTACCAATTAATTCCCATGTCCCATTAATTGGCTGAAACTGATTCATATGATTGTTGCTTTTCTCGCTGCTTCAGTTTGACGGGAACATTTGCAGTTAAACTCCGACTTGTGAGTAAGAAACCACAGCAGCACCGTGCAGAGCTGAAGACGTCGCGATTTCATTAAATTTGCAAGGTAGGGGGGCCCAAAGGATAGCTAAGTTGGTTGAACTAACTAGGTGAATTCTATGGTTTATGGTAGGTTTGACTAGACTATACTTAATCGGGTATATAAACCAACACACATAACCAGGATGCCCCACATTGTACTTCCCCTTTCTTGACATTGGAATACGTAATCTTTTGTTGCTCTTAAATATGTTGTATCTTACAGCAAGTCCGCGGAAGGAACATTGTGGAACCAACGGGTATCAATGGGTGATAAAAGCATATAAAAGCAACAAAGAGGTCCAACATAATACCCTCTGGTAAACTAACATAGCGATTGAAAATGGCCATTTATAGTGGATTTTCCCATTAAAAATGATGATTTTCCATAGCTATGTTAAATTACCAGAGGGTATGTATATTTGGAGGAACATTTCACCATTCATCAACAAAATTATCCGCGCACCTGGAACATCATCACTTGCCGAGTGCAGCAGGCCACTCCAATCGTTTTTTTCTAATGGACTCTCCCTACATTGAAGTTGTCACCTTAACTTTGCAGTTTGATCAACCAATAAAAATGGGATAGTTCTATGTATTCTCCGGTCTGATATGTATTCTGAAGAGCGGGTTACATTGCTGCTCCAAAAGAACTCGCATATATATAATATATATATAATATATATATAATATATATAATATATATATATAACAAGTATATCTTTAGCTATAGGCTTAGGTATTCCCATGTATTCCCCCATTTTCCAGGAAGAGGAAAAGCCTTGAGTCAACTTGAGTATCCGAGCCAGGCATAACCAGGCCCAAAACTCATTGGCTCAATTTTGAGTATTGTCAGAACCCTCATGTGACTGGTTTGACCTCATGTTGCGGTCAACTGTCGTTGCTTTCGTAAGCCTTGAGCCGCACCATGTGTTGAACAGTTTGAACCTGACTGCTTGGTAGTTAAGCCACCACGGGTCAACGATTGAGCCGTCAGTCAAAGGGTGACTTGATGCAAATCCTACATCATTTGGATGAGAAAAATGATAAGTCTCCCAGTTTTTTGACAAAGAATCACCTGGCGACATGTATTGGATCCATTCATAACTTGGGCTCCAACTTATTGGTTCATTGAGCAACCTATGACGCTTATCGTAATGGGATTACAAAGGCACAACAAATTTCCTAATCCCAATCCCATCATCTGTGGAGCTCGAGGGTACCATTGGAAGCGGAAATCAACTCATCATGGGGTCAACAATCTTGAGGTTTCTACGAAAAAACCGTGGTATGTGATGGGAGAAATATGTTTAACACATAATATTCTACATGGTTTCCTAGTTTCCGAAGTAAAGTTTTTGTCTCATCAATCCAGTGTCTTGAGGTTAACACATGAACCGTGCACCATGAGTCATGGAGCCAGCATCGTGTGAGCCACTAGGATCCATGTTCCATGTGTGCTTCTCCACATGTTTGCTTCCCAAACTTGTCAAATACTCGGCACTTTCCTCCATTTTTTAGGCATGAATCTCTGTGTGTGTACATATGTATATATAACAACCATGAGATGTTTTTTGTTCTTGCTGTGATTATTGTGTTGTTCTGTTTGCATTCCTTGATGTTCTATTATTATATCAACATCAAACTATTCTTACACTCAAGACCTGCAGTGTCCCCCAGGGCCCCCCATACCCTGCACCCCATGCCACCGTTTACCACGCCACTCCGCACCGCGGCCAAACACCCCGCGATCCGCGAAAACTCTGTGGCGATCAGCTCGCAGATAGGAAGGAATATGGATGGATTTAGAGCTATAACCTCACTTATCCCTACACGTTCATAGAAAATCATAGATATGGAAAAGCCTTCGCAATTCTTGTAGATCGGGTCCTTTGAGAAACCATGCAAAAAAACCCATGTCCATATATGTGTTTGATGAATTTGGTCGGAGACTACATCCCCAGTGCTGGTGGTTGACCATCATCCCGTTGCTGGAGGGAACATATTTGAAACAAGGTGAAACAACTACCCTCCAGTAAATTAACATAGACCCTGCCAGATAGGGGTTGGATTCCACTAGACTATACATTGGTCATTTTCAGGGTCTATGTTAATTGGTGGTGGTTTTAACCATCTTGAAAAATATTAGTCAATGGGAAGGATTATCCCATATATTATGGAATGTTTGAAAATGTTTGAAACCACCAACCAGCTATCTATTATTTATCATTTAGAAGTGCTTAACTATGTTGGAAACCGCCAAGCAGAAAAAAACAGCGTTGAAACACTAGATTTTTAAACCATTCATATACACTCAGTCTGCAGTCAGAAACAAGGGGGGTTCCCATGGTTACTCCCAAAGGTCCAAGCGTTGGTTGTATCAGAAGCAGTTCAATTTGCTTCAGCCTGGTAACCCGACTTAAAATCGCAAGAATCTAAAGTTCTAAAGTAGATGAAGTAGATGTATAACTGTATAACCCTGTACCCTTGACCGCTGCGCTTTCTCTAAATGGACTTGGTCAAGGGCTTCAGGCTTAATAATAAGAAACATAAAAGACACACGTAATACTGCAATACATAATCTTAATTGACATCCGGGATGATCATTGTCATAAAACGCGCAAAAATCATAAACCATCCAATCATTTCAAAAGCCATGATTCGCTGGGATCTCCGTCGTTTCAGTTGGCTTGCCGCCTTACATTATTTCCAATTGCCCTGGCAGCCACCTCTCAAATCTCTTCATTATCGATACATCGCTCCTCTTTGAGGGCGTTTGTTGGTCTGGACAGGGTCAGGTTCAAGGAAATTATTGCCTGCTCAAGCGATTTTCTCGTTTCCGATTGGGACTACCTATAGTGACAACCCTCAATGGAAAATCCCCGGCTTCGATGCTCATTGACTTCGGATCAGCTTCTACAGGTGAGAAGTTGCGACGGCCTTGAGCGTTCCCTATTGAACTGGCATGAAATTCTGTATTTTCAGGTTTCAGCTGGGGTTAAGGTTATAATCCCAACTATAATGCAACTATAATACATGGTGCTTTTGGTTGTTGTGCAAATACAAATTCTGGGATGAATCAACCACGATGGATTTGTTTTTCTCCCGAGATGTTCTTCAAATTGACCAGCTGGAACAGCTAAGCGGCAGAATAGACACCAGGCTGGGAATCCGATTTGTTGAGGTTCTAAGGTTTGTCCGACTCTTTTGGGAAATGACTAAGACCGACCTGTTCCAGTCCTGACCCGGATCCAAACTGACACCATCTGACACCGAGCTTAGTGCGTGGTGGGTCTCGCTTCGGGACGTCCCGCAACATCCCCGGCTCAAGGTGTCACATTCAACATGGGCCCTATGGCCCAGCTGAAGGGAAAAAAACTTGGAAGAGATGTGGGTTGCTGGACCCACTTGGATCATCTTGGATCATCTTGGTTTCTTGAAATTAGCTGCGAAACAAGTTACTGTACCTGCGATAACTCTTGTCCATGCCAAAAAAATTGAGTGTTCCTTGGGTTCCTTGGTGGCGGCAGTTCAGAAACAATCAGCAAAATGGCTGCTGTGTCACCTTGCAAGGCCTGTTCTATGTCCCTCCCGATCTCCCTTTTGATCCCATTGTATCTGTCTATGGGTGGTTGAAATGTCTATGTTGGATCCCAGCAACCCCGTTAAAAAAAAAAACACACACAGCTGCTCAGCTGCTCACTCACCTGGAAAGTGTCAAGGCGGGCAAATTCGAATAAAAACCCGTGGTTTCAATCTGAAAAAAAAAATCCGTGGGATTGGTCAAGTTACCCATGAAATTCCTGAAATTCTTGTAGTTTTGGGGAAAACACATCCAGAAATCCCAGTGATTTTGTTGGGTGACAGGGTTTTGACATGTTTTGACGAAACCATAGCCGTATCAATTGGGATGGATCATCCTGGGGGTTGAAACCAGCAAGAATCATACACCAAATACACCATCTGGTTATGACTAACATAGCTATGGAAAATCCATGAACTAAATGGAGCTTTATAGCTGGGAAAATCATCTGTTTCTGCCATGGTTTCCATAGCTATGTTAAATAACCAGAGGGCACATGATATTTTAGAATTACATCTGAGCATATCATAAAAAATGGTATCATATATAGTTGACATAATTCCAAACAATCAGAAAATGTTCGCCAACTTTGGGCATCATTCCAGCTAAACATCAACCTGTGACCTCATCCATGCGCGAGGTTCAACCAACGAATCGGCAGCCATCCCTTAAACTTGGGACAGCAACAACAACAACAACAACAACAACAACAACAACAAGCTTTTAAGCTTGCAAACATGACTATGTTGTGCAATGTGTTCTGCTGTTCTGATCCGGGGTAAATGAAGTTCTTCGGGGGAACTTATCATGCTGTGAATATGTATCTCTGGTAGACATGTTTGACTTTGATCATGCTTGATCGTGTTGTTGAGGGCCTCTTTATTGAACATTATTAATTTGGCAAAATGCACGATATGTATGCACGTGCTAGATGTATCAATGTCTTGAAGGGCATGTTCAGGTACTGAATTCGTGACACAAATGCACAATGTAAGACTGTACGTAGGATCTTTGCAAGGTCTTTATGGAGGTTTCCTAAAATGGGGGGACCTCCAAATCATCCATTTAATTGGGATTTTCCATTATAAACCATCCATTTTGGGGTACCCCATTTATGGAAACCCCCCTATATATAATATAAGGGAATATCCCAAAACATATTTGGCCTTTACTATGCAACAGTACATTAGGTACTTGCAATAGACAGTGAGAACTGGCTCCTTCAACAGTTCCGGGAAAAAAAACGCAAACCTGAAATAAATCATGTTTGGGCAATTTCCCCCTCTACTAGCACTCCCATCATCTTTGGTATGGTCGTTGTGCATCGTTGTATGCTTTTTGCCCAGTTGTTTGCTATGTTGTGGCCCGTCACGACACCCAGCCATTCCACCAGCCCTGCCGTCAACTTTGAGGCTCATTGTTGGACCCATACTCATAGTCGGACTCATACTCATAGTCATTCCCATCTCCTTGGATGTTTCGAATGGTGACAAGGACAAAACATGTTCTTTAAAAAATCTAACCCCATCCCCCTGATATACTCGCACTTCTGAAGCCCTAAAATAAAAAACCCATCCAGGATCCACTATAAACTTTACCAGGCTTTCTAGGGTGGTTACTAGGGGCAGGGGAAGCTTCAGACATTCAATTGCCAGGTTTGACCAACGGGGTGACAGGCCCAAAACCTGGAGGACCTGACCAACGAGCGTCAAATTCACCAAAATCCTCCGCCTCCTCGCCGTGCATTCTCCTGGGCAAGGTGCAGGCATGCTGGGCCAACGATAGCTAAATTCGTCTATACTACCCTCTGGTAATTTGTTACATAGCTATTGAAAATGACCATTTATAGTGGATTTACCCATTGAAAATGGTGATTTTCCATAGTTGTGTAAACGTTTACCAGAGGGTAGGTGAATTCTATTGTTTTGGTAGATATAGCAACAAACAAAAAAACAACTCTAATAAAGTAAAGGTTGATAAATGGATCTGTTTATAGATGATGATATAATTGTTTATACTAGGTAAAACATTTATATCTATAGATGATGTTACTATACACCAACAAACATAACTGGTGGACACCACCTTGGAAACCGGGCTACCCTTATACGATTTTCTAAGCGAATCCAGTTTCACGCGTGAAATACATATACGCATAAATCAAATAACATGAACCTGTTGTATAACAGTGGCAAACAAAAACATGCGAGAGGTAGACATAAAACATCATGACACCCGTTGACACCTGTGCTAGTTCTTCACAATGGCAAACACAATCCCGTGATTGTTTTTTTAACATGGTTATTTCCTTAAATAGTCCAAACATGATCAAGTGTGATTATTTGTTTGAAACAATCTAAATTAAGTTTTTTGAAGTTACTTCCATTTTTTGGAATACGTTTATTGTTATCTATGTTTCTGGGAAATAATGCTGAAATAAGGCTATCATTGGGGAAATATTGCGGATAGTTTCCCCTACGAACCATCATTCCAGGGTTCCGGAGAACAGTGAGGTGGTTATAAATATTATATTGTATGTATATATATATATTATATCGTTATATACCATCATTATATACAATGTGAGGCCCCCCAGTTACAAGTTGGTTTATAGGCCCCAGTAACTATAGTTATAAGTACCATAAACCATAGTTATTGATAGTTATTGGAGTTATTAACCAACTTAGCTATCTTGGGGGCCTCACATTGTAGAGATGTTTCACAATGCCCACCCTATATCTCAACCAAGCCGGTCATCACCAGCCATCAACCCAAAAACGAGCGGCCTCGCGGTGGCTTTGAACAGGACCTCTCGCAGGACCAGCCGTACGGCGGCAGGGATCTTGTCGACTGCCGGGCCTTGGGACTCCAGGGAAGATACCCTCCAGTAAATTAGCAGTTCGACGCTGCCAGATAGGGGTTGGAAGATTAGTTTCCACTAAAAATAGTAATTTTCAAGGTCTATGTTAATTTACCAGAGGATATATCTCGGAAATATGGGAAATACTGGAAATATGCGTGCCATGGTCAAAATATGTGGGAAATATGTGGGACATATATGGAAATATGGGGGAATAAAAGATCCGTGGTGGAAAAAAAATGGGGGATTGTCAGCTACAAAATCGGAAGTGAAGCAACGACCAACAATACATGTTGGAAACATGTTGGAGGTTTCATCTGCAAAAATGAATTACCCTCTGGTAAACTAACATAGCTATTGAAAATGGCCATTGAAATAGTGAGTTTTCCCATTTTCCATAGCTATGTAAACGTTTACCAGAGGGTAAAAACAATCTTCGCATCTTGGGCCTCGGGGAACTTCAGGATGACTTTTTGAACCTATTGGTGAACCCTGTAGTTATCATTACCATAAACCATATAGTTAAGCCACTTAAGAGGCAACTGAACGCTATCGAACGGAAGCCTCATCCTGTATCAATGTTGGTTTATCATCTATCATAACATGATATAGGATAAATCACATTACATATAACAAATATATATCATATATAAACCCACTGTTTCGTTTGTTTGAACATCAACGCTTAAATCAACGGTTAGAAAGACATCAGGATTGCCAGTTCCAGGAATTGACCAACCAGGTAACGAGCACTGCTCGTTACATGACCGGAGGGTATACAACTAAAAAATATCCCATTAGGCATCCAAATATCATCAAATATCCAGAATTAAGCCAAACAAAAAACACATTTATTCCACTAACGTACCTGTTTCTTCCATGTTTTCCACATCGTCCAATCGTCCGAATCGTGGCACCTCCGATGTGATACGCTTCCACGATGCTGCTGGATCTAACCTCTGCTGGCCACTCAGCAGCTGGGAGAACCCCCCATCGATCACCAGTGGAAAGGTGACCAGTTGTGTTTTTTATGCGATGATCCAAGGAATCCAAGGATAGAGAAATGTTAAACACTTCCATTTGACGACATGAACAAGAAATATTATCACATAATTACTCTCATTGGATTCGAGAAAGGTGAAAATCGCTGAACACAATAAGTGACTAAATTTACCATCACATTTTTCATATTGAACAGTTCTATCACCCAACATTCAAAACACACTAAGCTAATGTATCCTCGCTGCGGGATCCCCAAGTTTGGTTTAATCGCGATCCTCGGAGATGAAGCGTAAATTCCGGTCCAGTAAACCATCATTTTCAGCCCAAATCGCAAAATGAAGTGTCCAGTGTTTATCGTTCATCCAATCTCCGATTATATATATATATATATTCCGCTGTAGCAAGCCTGAAGTATCAATAGATTCAGCAAAGTTGGAAACCTGGACATACGGTGCATGGTTGCGAAGTCCTGCGCGAGTTGATAGATGGCAGAAATCCATGTTTATCCCATTATTTATAGGGTTTCAACCATCCTTTTGGTGGTGCAGGATGAGGTAAATATCATCGAACTACTATCCTGGAAAGATTCTTCGGCATCTTTTTGGGGGCGACCACATCCCATTTTCTAACAGTTTGCGACATTGAAAATGGTTGATCATGGCAAAAAAAATGCCCACGTTTAGTTGATTTCCCTCTTAAAGTTGTGATTTTCCATAGTCCATAGTAAGTTATGTTAGTTTACCAAAGGGTACCCTTTCTAGTTGGCTTTTTACTCCCACTTCTAGGCTTTTCACGGATTTGCCAAGTTGCCCAGAACGGCTCTGGAATGGGCAAGGGGAGGAATGGCATGGTGCAAAAGACCTGCAGGATATCGTCATTCTACTGGTGGGATACAACAGGATACCATAAAGTGGATATGGGAATACAATGGGATATGATAGAATGGGAGAATAATCAGGTAGCATGGAATTCATGAGAAAACATATGGCACATCGAACATCAATGAGATAATCATGAGATACAACGGAAAATAATTGGATACAATGGATAGGATACAATGGACATGAATATGGAAAATTGCATAAGATTATACGATACAATACAATGCAATACTGTGGCTAAATCACTTTAATCATCAATCTACTGGTGTTGTTGACACTGCTCATGTGTGCCGTGGGCATCCTACTAAGAAATTGGGAATCCGTAGTATCTCATTGGATTTGCAACTAGGGAGGCATCACAAATTTTCACATATGTGTCCAGTAGATTCCCCTTAAATCGAGATTGAGCAATGAAAAAAACATGTTTAGAAAAAAACCTCTGGTAAACTAACAGTTTGCTATTGAAAATGGCCATAGAAATAGTTGATTTACCCATTAAAAATAGTGATGTTCCATCGTTTTTTGTATGTGTCCCAGAGGATAATTCATGTTTTGTATGGAAGGGTTGCCACAGTGGCAGTGGCACCAAAAAGGCGATCCAACCTACAGAATTCGCTGCCTTTTAAGGCTGGGCGTTCTCCAACGAAAAAAACAAGGGGGAAGGCCAGCTTGAAAATGATAATGGTATGTAATCATTGATTCATGAATAATGATCATGGATAATAATCATGCATAATGAACATAGGTCACTGCATTTCCAATGTTTTTTCGGCTGTGCACTGACATGGACGAAAAACAACATCTGAAATAGAGTGGGAGTTCATCCTGGTTTGCACAACTCAAAGCAAGGATAAGATATCGTGAATGATATCCACCATCCCAAATCATGTAAGTGTTTTTCAGCCAACTTTTGGCCATGGCACACTTCGGAAGTGGAGGCTTAATCTGTAAAACCACACTCAGTAGTGCGAGTGTGTCTGACTTTGGGGTATATCATGGTATACCCGGAAGATTACTATTTCAGGAGAAAATGATGATTGGCCAATGCATTTTGGAGTAGCCTATGGTCATACAAACCAGTGTCATATGTTTTCTTGCCCAATGCCAGAAACAATCCACAATTTTGGGAGATTCCAAAGTGATCTTAAATGTTTGTTTTGTTTGTTGTTGCCAGTGGGGAAACTACCAGCAATGGGGAATATATTGGGTGTTTGCTTCTGTTGTTCATACCTACAATATATATTTGGATGTGTACGTCATTTGTCATATGATAACAAATTTGTCATTCAATTGTATATGGGATGAACCTGGGTTATACCTGCTGACTAGCTGGACTAAACCATAGTTCCTGATTTTTTCCCACTTCTTAGCGGCGGAGCTGGCATCTTTAGAAAACAAACAAACTAACATGAAATGGAGACATATCCCAAGAATCCAGCAGGGGTCCGGGCCCCATGTCTTGCTGGTTTTCACTCAGGTCGCTAGATCCATCACATTACAACCCACAACATGAACAATACAACTACCATGTGGGTTGTTCCTTGCACCTAACCAGATTTGTCCGCAAATGGGGTACACATATTTTTTTCAATTATATGCAGAAACACGATTTTCAAGACCATTGGGGTTTCTCTGACAATGAGGTACGCAATGGTATGCACAAAAAAAATGCCATTTATTTTTGGGAACATGAACAAATAAACCACTGGATTTGGGGGGTTTCCCTTAAATTTTCAGACAAACCCATTAGATTCCAAGGCACCCCAGGTGCGTCCATGTGGTCCGCCAAGACCCAAGGAGAACCTGCGGCGCTTCTGGGAGAGCGAAATCCATCGAAATCCCTTGGTTTCCTGTGAGGTGCAGCCTCACTTATAAATATTTGTGTTTTGTTGTTTTAACATCTTCTTAACTGGACTCTTATATATATATTTTTTTATTTGTTTATTTATTTATTTATTTATATAATTATATAATTATCATATATACGTACGATAAACAATGGTTAATGTAATATATTGTAACTTACCGTGTTATAAAGCAACTTATCTATCTGCGGGGGACCACCTAGATGTGCCTCCGGTTAACATACCAATCCGCCCTCCCAGCAGGAACATTCCCCAAAAAACGTGGTTCGTTAATGGTTTTCCCTGTGGATTATGATCATCCCCAATGATCTTTGGCAGTATAACCCCTTATCATCATCATCATCATCATTATCATCATCATCAGCATCATCATCAGCAGCAACATCATCAACATCATGATCAACAAAATCATCATCAGCAGCAGCATCATCATCATCATCACCACCATATTCACCGTCATCATAATAATAATAATCATCATCATCATCAGCAGCAGCATGATTATCATCAACATCATCATTATCATCAGCACCAGCAGCAGCAGCATCATCATCGGAAGCAGCATCATCATCAGCATCATCAGCATCATCAACATCATCAACAGCATCGCCAGCATCATCATCAACAGCATGATCATCATCAACATCATCATTAGCATCAGCACCATCAGCAGCATCATCATCACCGGAAGCAGCATCATCATCAGCATCATCAGCAGCAGCATCATCATCAACATCATCATCATCAGCAGCAACATCATCAACATCATGATCAACAGCATCATCATCATCAGCAGCAGCATCATCATCACCACCATCATATTCACCGTCATCATCATCATCACCACCATCAGCATCATCAGCAGCATGATTATCATCAACAGCATCATTATCATCAGCACCATCAGCAGCAGCATCATCATCGGAAGCAGCATCATCATCAGCATCATCAACAGCATCACCAGCATCATCATCAGCAGCATGATCATCATCAACATCATCATTATCATCAGCACCATCAGGAGCAGCATCATCATGCGAAGCAGCATCATCATCAGCACCATCAGCATCATCAACAGCATCACCAGCATCATCATCAGCATCATCATCATCAGCAGCAACAGCATCATCAGAATCATCATCAGCAGCAGCATCATCAGCAGCAGCAACATCATCATCATCATCACCACCATCTTCACCGTCATCATCATCATCATCATCATCACCATCTTCACCGTCATCATCATGATCATCATCATCATCACCACCACCATCATCACCGTCCTCATCATCATCATCACCACCATCTTCACCGTCATCATCATCAACCAAAAATCCTCAATTTGCAAAGTGTATCCTGAAACTCTGATGATTCAACTGACCAGACTGGTCTCCCGATTTGACGGTTAAATCATGTTAGATGCTATTTTTATGGGCGCATCCAAGATTCTTCTCGAAGCCCTGCGTTGGACTATCCAACCTGGGATTTTGGAAATCATCAATCCACCGTCAATTCTCAATGATATCCCCTTGTTTGGCGGTTCAAACCCCTGTTTGATGGTTAAATTCTATTACACATTTTATCAACCTCCTTGGATTTGCATCCCAGGAATCGTAAGTGGTTTAGTTCACCCCACTTATATCTGGACTAAACCTGCTTGTTCTAAGTATAACTGGCGTTACATCCCACCTACCAACTTAAACTACAATTAAATTCCATTAAATCGCTATAAAACCCCTTAAATCCCATGGAAAATCGCGGTAAATCCCATATCATCCGTGCGTCCGTGCTGGATTGAACCCCTCCAAAGAAGGCACCTGGATCCATGTCCACGTCCGGAAGCTCGGGATTGTCCACCACAGTGCGACATGTATAGACCTGGACGCTGTCAGAGGAGACGACATGAAATAATAGCGAAAATACTAGTGAATCACAGTAATCATAGTGGATAGTTACTAGATTTAGTAATCATAGTAATCATAGTGGATCATAGTAATCAGCGGATAGTTAATAGATGTTAATAGTAAATAACCCTCATTTCCAGTCCTTGGGCAATGCATACCCTCTGGTAAATTAACATAAATTACAGACCCAGAAAATGTTACCCATTATTGAATGTTTCCACAAATATTCCAACCCCTATCTGAGAGATTCTGAGAGGGTCGAACTGTTAATCTATTGGACTACCGGAGGATGTTTATATACATATATATATATAATTAATTAATTTAAAAAAAATAATAATAAACTATATACATATATATATATACACACATAATCATATACATATATATATATATATACATACATTGGGGGTTTCCAAAGGGTACCCCGGAAAAGCATCCAAGTCATGGATGACCATTTTAGTATTGAAACCTGTGGTGACTTGGGGTACCCCCATTTGAGTCGAAAAAGAAACCCCGTTGGAAAATCCTGATCCCAACCACAAATCATCGTAATTCCAGGCGGCGGTGTTCTTCTAAATGGGACTCACATGGTCTCAAAAATGTCACATACTGGTAATTTTACTGGGCAATTCAAATCTTCATCACTCACGAGATGTTGAAACTAATTGTAAAAGAAATATGAGGGGGCGACACTTTCACCTGCAATTAGCAAATGGTAACAATCTTTGCACATGTTGCTTTCATCCCTGCAGCCTGGCATTGCTTTTTCTACTCCTGGCCAAAACGGCCTGAGTGGGGAAGCGGTGTTCAGCCTTTGCCTTCGAGCTTTTTTCCCCTTTACCTATGCGTTTGCAAAACAAGGAAAGCAATGTGGGCATATGGTCACCTATGACGGGTTTGGATGTCGCTCAGACGTCGTTCAGATGTCGTTTCGGATGTCGTTTAGATCACGTGGGATTTCCAAGAGACAAGTTCACTGTCAAGATGCAGGCGTTTAGAGGAAGGCGACTGAACAACTTTCTGTTCGGCAATCTTGTTTGCTTGTTGCTGTCTCAAAAAGATAATGTTTTGGCAATCCTTTGGCGGCCGCGGAGTCAGCCCACACCTCAAGGCTAGCTCCCAACTCCTCTACCTGAGCCTTTTGCAGGTAGTTTCCGTTTGCAAATTTCATACATATGATTTACCATCTGGTTATTTAACATAGCCATGGAACATCACCATTTTTACCAGGTAAACCAGGTAAACCTCTATAAATGGGCCATTTCCCATAGCTATGTTAAATAACCAGAGGGTAGATGTCGTGACGATGTCGTTCCCCACCATGAAATATCCTCACAGTTGAATTAATTTCACCAAGGATCACCGAAGAGCTGAGAATTACGGGGTTATTTGTTCAGTTATTAGTAGGTTATCAACCATGGTTATTAATTTCCTAAAAGTTAGCTGTTCTGTTTATGGTTATTATAGGTTATCAACCATATTTTGTACCCCAAAAAGATGGAAAAGTGAAAAACATATACTGAAACAGTGATTTTCCAAGGTTGAGAAATGGTCACGAAAATTCTTCGGCTCGCAACATAGGGCGGGCCATCGCAACAAAGACGCCGATCGACTCAGTGTCGTAGTGGTCCTCCAGCTCTTGTTAGGTTTTGGCCTGGAGATGACGGAGCCAACTTTTCAACCAAATGTCTGCCACACTTTGCTTGCGCCTGAGGCTCTTTCTGGGGGGCTCTTCACATCATAGTGCGAAATCCCACAGAAGGGTGAATTCCGGCAAGGGGATTCGATACCCACCGATGATAATGCTCACGAAATCCGTGCCTGCCTTGGCATAGCCAAAATTTATCGTGCACCGGGCAGCCGATGACCAAACATCATGCTCCACCAACACCTCTAAGATCAACTAAGACAGTATTCTACCTAATAGGTAATAGGCAGAACTCTACCTAATAGGTAGAATGTAAATAACCTTATCACAACCTAACCTTAAGGTTATCATAAGAATAACCTTAAGTTTGTTTGGTCAAATAACCTTAAGGTTGCTTGTTCTAAGCCACATTTTTGGTTTTCAAAGTCGCATAAGATCAACTGATCCCAGTTGTGTGTGTTGGTTGTAGATAACCCACATCAAATAGTTCGATATATCTACTAGAAGCCTTAGCTCACCTACTTACAAACTAACCTAAAACTTAGCTAACTATTGGGCACCACGGTGTACAAAGAACGCACACTTGCCTTTTTCAATCCAGGCCTAGGCCATGAGGCCACGCTATGTTATGTAGCCATGGTCCTGAATCAGTTCTCGAAAAAATAAAGATCCCAGAAAAGCCCTAGTGAAGTACTGGATTCATATGTATTTACCAGCTAGAAACCCAAGTCACTGTTTTTGATTCCAGCTTTATATGTATACATACATCAAAAAAATATACGTGTATATATATACGTATATTTACACATCATAGATCAACTACACATCCTCGTTGTTCTTGGTTAAATCTACCACGGTGGTAGCTTGTTCTTCTTTATTTCTTCGTTGATGAAATCCCCATCCACTCATCCGTCTATTTTCTCATCCTTGTAGTCATGTTTCTATGGCTCCTCCGACTCCCATTGATGCTCGGGATTCCATGATGACCAGGGGTATCTACCTCTGACCCCAAGTCGGATGACATGTCTTGGAGGAACAAGCCTGCAGTTATGCACCTTTTTAGTTAGCAAGTCACCCCATGTATGGAATGATCACCCCAACTATATCAGGCTGTATATAACCATCAAAATCACTGGCTTTAGGGCTTACATTCCCATTTTCCTATGGTCTTCCTATGGTTTTCCTACGGTTTTCCTTATGAAATCCCCATTTAAACCGTCATTTCATCCATCGTAAATCTCCCCGAAAAAAGTACGCCAGGCTGCCGCTCTCTTGGTCTGTAGTTCCTGAGGCACAGGGGAAGTCTCCAGTCATTCTCATGGAACATCACTATTTACATCGGTCAATCAACTACTGGTTGGTGGTTTCAACCCCTCTGAAAAATATTAGTCAGTTGGGATGACTATTCCGAATATATGGAAAAATAAAACATGTTCCAAACCACCAACCAGACTATTTCTATGGGCCGTTTTCTATAGCGAACTGTTAGTTTACCAGAGGGTAATGGCGAAACAAATCTTCATGTTATAACCTATCATTCGTGATTAATAAGATCTAAGAAGTGGATATCTTTATTAACATATAGTGATTAATAACTGGTTGGTGGTTTTAATTTTAACCATCTTGAAAAATATTGGTCAATGGGAAGGATTATCCCATATATTATGGAAAATAATCCAAATGTTCCAAACCACCAACCAGATAATAATCCCATTAATTATAGATATATCACATTATATCACCTGTAAACTATAGTTATTGGACTTATAAACCAATAAAACCATATAAGATTATCCCAATAGTGGGATGTGCAGAGGTTTTATGGCACCTTTTCATGAGATTTCATGGGGTTCAATCGGACTTAATGGAGATTTTTTTAATGGTGACTGCCATCATGGGATGAAACCTGGGATATAAATCCACTGGATACCCTCTGGTAAATTAACATAGACCCTGGCAGATAGGGGTTGAAAGATTAGTTTCCATTAAAATTATGCTATTTTCAGGGTCTATGCTAATTTACCAGAGGGTATATGGATATACCATTGGAATGTTAATGGCATTGAATTGGATTTATGCTGGCAAGAAAAACAGTTTGCTATTGAACATTGCAATTTTCTTCGTTGGTTTACCTATCAAAAGTACTGATTTTCCATAGCCATGTTAATTTACCAAAGAGTATGGTTAAATCGTGGTGGTTTAACGAACAGAATTAGGGACTGTGTGAACCAATGTAAACACAAATGGGGATATGGTTATGGATTGTTCTGAACCAACTCAGCTATCATACCCTCCGGTGTCATTAAAAATGGCAATTGAAAATCCAATATGAATGGAGGTTTCAATGGGAAAATCAACCATATTTTTTTTCCAGCAAGCCATGTTTGACTACCGGATGGTAATGGGGGGTTGAACCAAAAAAATGGCCATTAACAAACCAAAATGGAGATTTGAGCAGTCATGGAGTGATTGAATACTTAGTGGCTCATACTTCATACCACTTGGTAAATACATAATGACCCCAATTGCAAGAGAAGCAAAACCCTACTAACAAAGCCTTCATGAACCAACCCACTTACACATGTTCGATGCTAAAATCTCTACTCATGATGCTTAAAACCCCCTCTCAGAATCAACCAAGTATAGTTTCTTGACACAGCTTGTTTAAGCTTGAACGGATTACGGATTGGGACCTTGATTCCAGTTCAAAAGACAGCGTTCTCCCATCCCGCTATACTGTTGGATACTGTTGGATTAATAGAATGTTAATATAATTATCCCTACAAAAAATGGGTATAGTGATGCCCAATAAACAAGGTGGAGCAACAGTTTTAACAGTGTAGCCCCCTAGAAATAACCAATCAACTGTTAGGGACTGTTAGGTACGCTGGAACATGAACAAATTGAGTCGACCAATCAGCTATATACAAATGACACAAGGGAAAAACACACAATGAAGTCCTTGAAATAAAGGCCGGTGTGGATGCCAATTGCCATCAATCAAAGAGTTCCTTACGAAAATCGTTCAATGGGAAGATCCTGTTCGAATCCCTAGATGGATTTCGGTCTGAACCCTGTGCCCTGGTGAACATCCACAAAGATGAAAAGTGGTTAATCTATGGTTAATCTATGGTTAATCTATGGTTAATCTATGGTTAATCTATGGTTAATCTATGGTTAATCTATGGTTTATCTATGGTTAATCTATGGTTTATCTATGGTTAATCTATGGTTTATCTATGGTTAATCTATGGTTAATCTATGGTTAATCTATGGTTAATCTATGGTTTCTATCTATGGTTTATCTATGGTTAATCTATGGTTAATCTATGGTTAATCTATGGTTATGGTTAATCTATGGTTAATCTATGGTTAATCTATGGTTTATCTATGGTTTATCTATGGTTAATCTATGGTTAATCTATGGTTAATCTATGGTTAATCTATGGTTAATCTATGGTTAATCTATGGTTTATCTATGGTTAATCTATGGTTTATCTATGGTTAATCTATGGTTAATCTATGGTTAATCTATGGTTAATCTATGGTTTATCTATGGTTTATCTATGGTTAATCTATGGTTAATCTATGGTTAATCTATGGTTAATCTATGGTTAATCTATGGTTAATCTATGGTTAATCTATGGTTAATCTATGGTTAATCTATGGTTAATCTATGGTTAATCTATGGTTAATCTATGGTTAATCTATGGTTAATCTATGTTAATCTATGGTTAATCTATGGTTTATCTATGGTTTATCTATGGTTAATCTATGGTTAATCTATGGTTAATCTATGGTTAATCTATGGTTAATCTATGGTTATCTATGGTTAATCTATGGTTAATCTATGGTTAATCTATGGTTAATCTATGGTTAATCTATGGTTAATCTATGGTTAATCTATGGTTAATCTATGGTTAATCTATGGTTAATCTATGGTTAATCTATCTATGGTTATCTATGGTTATCTATGGTTATCTATGGTTAATCTATGGTTAATCTATGGTTATCTATGGTTAATCTATGGTTAATCTATGGTTAATCTATGGTTTATCTATGGTTAATCTATGGTTAATCTATGGTTAATCTATGGTTAATCTATGGTTAATCTATGGTTAATCTATGGTTAATCTATGGTTAATCTATGGTTAATCTATGGTTAATCTGTGGTTAATGGTTAATCTATGGTTAATCTATGGTTAATCTATGGTTATCTATCTATGGTTAATCTATGGTTAATCTATGGTTAATCTATGGTTAATCTATGGTTTATCTATGGTTAATCTATGGTTTATCTATGGTTAATCTATGGTTAATCTATGGTTAATCTATGGTTAATCTATGGTTTATCTATGGTTTATCTATGGTTAATCTATGGTTAATCTATGGTTAATCTATGGTTAATCTATGGTTTCTCTATGGTTAATCTATGGTTAATCTATGGTTAATCTATGGTTTCTCTATGGTTTATCTATGGTTTATCTATGGTTTATCTATGGTTAATCTATGGTTAATCTATGGTTAATCTATGGTTAATCTATGGTTAATCTATGGTTAATCTATGGTTAATCTATGGTTAATCTATGGTTAATCTATGGCTAATCTATGGTTAATCTATGGTTAATCTATGGTTAATCTATGGTGAATCTATGGTTAATCTATGGGTTCATCTTATGGTTAATCTATTGTTATCTAGTGTAATCTATGGTTTAATCTAGGGTTAATCTATGGTTATCTATGGTTTTAATCTATGGGTTAATCTATGGTTTAAAATCTATGGTTTATCTATGGTTTTTAATCATGGTTTAATCTATGGTTCCATCTTATGGTTAATCTATGGTTAATCTATGGTTAATCTATGGTTAATCTATGGTTATCTATGGTTAATCTATGGTTAATCTATGGTTTAATCTAATGGTTAATCTATGGTTAATCTATGGTTAATCTATGGTTAATCTATGGCTAATCTATGGCTAATCTATGGCTAATCTATGGTTAATCTATGGTTAATCTATGGCTAATCTATGGCTAATCTATGGTTTATCTATGGTGTATCTATGGTTAATCTATGGTTAATCTATGGTTAATCTATGGTTTATCTATGGTTTATCTATGGTTTATCTATGGTTAATCTATGGTTAATCTATGGTTAATCTATGGTTAATCTATGGTTAATCTATGGTTAATCTATGGTTAATCTATGGTTAATCTATGGTTAATCTATGGTTAATCTATGGTTAATCTATGGTTAATCTATGGTTAATCTATGGTTAGTCTATGGTTAGTCTATGGTTAATCTATGGTTAATCTATGGTTAATCTATGGTTAATCTATGGTTAATCTATGGTTAATCTATGGTTAATCTATGGTTAATTTATGGTTAATCTATGGTTAATCTATGGTTAATCTATGGTTAATCTATGGTTAATCTATGGTCAATCTATGGTTAATCTATGGTTAATCTATGGTTAATCTATGGTTAATCTATGGTTAATCTATGGTTAATCTATGGTTAATCTATGGTTAATCTATGGTTAATCTATGGTTAATCTATGGTTAATCTATGGTTAATCTATGGTTAATCTATCGTTAATCTATGGTTAATCTATGGTTTATCTATGGTTTATCTATGGTTAATCTATGGTTAATCTATGGTTAATCTATGGTTAATCTATGGTTAATCTATGGTTTATCTATGGCTAATCTATGGTTAATCTATGGTTAATCTATGGTTAATCTATGGTTAATCTATGGTTAATCTATGGTTAATCTATGGTTAATCTATGGTTAATCTATGGTTAATCTATGGTTTATCCATGGTTTATCTATGGTTTATCTATGGTTAATCTATGGTTAATCTATGGTTAATCTATGGTTAATCTATGGTTAATCTATGGTTAATCTATGGTTAATCTATGGTTTATCTATGGTTAATCTATGGTTTATCTATGGTTAATCTATGGTTTATCTATGGTTAATCTATGGTTAATCTATGGTTAATCTATGGTTTATCTATGGTTTATCTATGGTTAATCTATGGTTAATCTATGGTTAATCTATGGTTAATCTATGGTTAATCTATGGTTAATCTATGGTTAATCTATGGTTAATCTATGGTTAATCTATGGTTAATCTATGGTTAATTTATGGTTAATCTATGGTTAATCTATGGTTAATCTATGGTTAATCTATGGTTAATCTATGGTTAATCTATGGTTAATCTATGGTTAATCTATGGTTAATCTATGGTTAATCTATGGTTAATCTATGATTAATCTATGGTTAATCTATGGTTAATCTATGGTTAATCTATGGTTAATCTATGGTTAATCTATGGTTAATCTATGGTTAATCTATGGTTAATCTATGGTTAATCTATGGTTAATCTATGGTTAATCTATGGTTTATCTATGGCTAATCTATGGTTTATCTATGGTTTATCTATGGTTAATCTATGGTTAATCTATGGTTAATCTATGGTTAATCTATGGTTAATCTATGGTTAATCTATGGTTAATCTATGTTTTATCTATGATTAATGACTGGTTGGTGGTTTTAACCATCTTGAAAAATATGAAAGTCAGTTGGGGTGATTATTCCCATATATTATGGAAAAATAAAACATGTTGGAAACCACCACGATTGTTCCTCGATTGTCTCCCGCGCTGCCAGAAAGTTTGAAACCACCAGCCAGATGAATATTAATGAGATGTCTACCTACCATTACCTACCCATGTGGTTTCGAACACGTGAACTGTGACTCGAACCACTCACCAATGTCAACAACAACAACTGGCGTCACCCAACTCCATATGGTGCAGTTTTGAAGATGGCTTCCTAAATCATCGATTTTTTTGCGATCTCTGGAAACTTTGGTGCAAAGAAACCCGCATTTTCTTAATGTTCCCGGTCTTGTTTCATTACATCTCTAAGCTTTGATAGCGCAAAATCACGCCAGAGCTCCCCTGGACCCTGATCAGGTGAGTGGTTGAACTGTTCCTATCCGAAGGGGTCAATCATTTGAGATACGGATGCAACAGTCCTTAAGTATTCAAGAATTACCATACATATAGATAGTTATGATGATAGATATCAATGTGTATAATTTTATGATAACTTGTCTTAACTATTCCTAATCAACGTGTAGATGTTTTATTTTATGATTTCCTTTGAAAAATAAAACTTTCAACTGGTGCCAGCCATTTCCGTCAAAACCAGTGCCAGGTGTCCTTCAAGTTGTTGGGCAAATTACCTGATTTCCCGCAGGGGGTTGGCCACGTGGCCACGTTCGGGTGTTGATTTTTTGATTGTGACCCACATCATGATATGCTGTTAGCATATATTAGTTCATATTAGCTTATATACTTCCCCAAAGGCAAGTACCAAATATTTGAATATATTTGAATATATATATATATATATATTGATTTTCTGTTTGTTTTTTGATATGTTTAGATAAAACATTTCACCTAACTGCTGTCATAAGCACACCATGTCTGCAATCAAACATCATCAGGTTTCAATTCCCACCCAGCTTCCATATGAAATATGGTTATGGGTCAGAATTATAAGCACCCAAAATGATAGTATATTGACCTATATGATAACATTAGATATATATATGTATGTAATTATACATATCAAACAAAGTGTTTTCTTGTTGATAAAATGTTCAGTTATATAGTTTTAAAACTTGTTGCTTATCATGTTTCCAACCGTGGCTGCCACAAGACTAAACATGACTTAAGTCGTCTCAATTTGGGTCGCGAAAAAAAAACACGGTCCCTTATCAACACCAGGCGGCCGAATCTCATGGTATTTCCCATGGTATTTATGATGTATTCAATTTCTGGTTAACTATACCACCATTTACCCTCTGGTAATTTAACGTAGCTATTGAAAATGGCATTTTTTTAATGGGAAAATCCACTATTTCTATGGCCATTTTCAATAGCTATGTTAAATTACCAGAGGGTAACATGCTGTTGTTTTTTTCACACAATGTGGCACCATTTCACGATTGAACGAATGGATTCACCGCAGTCTCAGAAGTGTCAGAAGTGTAACAGTCACTTTTTTTCCTGGTTGAGAAAAATATCTGGTTGGTGGTTGACCTATCCCTCTGAAAAATACGAAAGTCAGTTGGGATGATGACATTCCCAATATATGGAAAAATAAAAATGTTCCAAACCACAAACCAGCTGGATGGTTGACGATTTTGTTTGCATGTTCTTAGGACATCGATGGAGAGTTTTACCATTAATCCATCTGTGTTTTCCCTAAGTTTGGCCATCGATTGGGTTTTCATTAAAACCGCTTTCGATCGACCACCATCCACTTCATCCAGGCCAAACACGCGCCATGTTCCAGTTCGCTATGTTGGGTTACCAGAGGCTACCGACATGTTTTTTCACCATCACTATTGTCATTCACCCATTACTTACTGGTGCTTAGTAGGGAATGGATGGGAATGGGGGAATGGGATGATGATTACTAGTGATTATGGATCATTACCCTCTGGTAAACAAACAGTTTGCTATTGAAAATGGCCATAGAAATAGTGGATTTTCCCGTTAAACATGGTGATTTTCCATAGTTATATTAACGTTTACCAGAGGGTAACCCATTAACAGCACAAATCTCCATTATGCTGGATAAATCCGTTTTGTTGGTTCCTAAAATGATCAATAACCGGCCAATAGGGGTATATGAAGCACCGTTGTTCATTCTTATGTGCAGAGATTTGAAATTAAAATCAAATCAACCAGTACTTCGTCCAATCCCATTATATTCCAATATGTTTCATAATCAGAATTAAATCAAATGCTTACGATAGGTTCTTCAATCCTGTACTTAAAGCAATCTAAGAAACTCCATTCTGTTGGTGAAATCGTTGTTGGTGATGTGAAAATTTCACCAAACCGCGTGACATTCGTTTTTATTTTGGCTTAAACAATTTTAAGCTATTTTAGTTTAAGACAATTTTCAGTTGATTAAATCATGTTCAATCCCCTTTTGGTGTAAAATCAAAATCATAATGGGATATGATATAAGCAGCAAATAGGATCAACATGTATTTAAACACATAACAATATTAGCAAAATAATACAAACACATAATCATAATCACAGATAAAACTACATATATATATATATCATATCATGAATAATTGAATAATGGTATTTAAATCCTTACAAACCTTATGGTTCCCATACAAACATCCGCGGGGCACCTAAAACGCGCCCAGTCACAGACCAAAGCCACGCGCCCTTTTAAGGCGGCCAGGCGCTGATTGCGCCGAGACGAGGTGGACTGACCTCACAAACCATGGGAAAAGGTAAGTTTTGATGGGAAAATGTAGTTTTATATGGGAAAATTGATGGTTTTCACTGGGAAAATGGACGTTTTTCAGTGGGAAAATGATAAAAGTGATGGTTTTTTATGGGAAAATGGAAGCGTTCATTGGGAAAATGAAGGTTTTCACTCGGAAAACTGATGGTTTTTGGTCATAAAATGTATGTTTTCAGTGGGAAAAATTGAAGTTTCAATGGACACATTGATGGTTTTCGCTCGGAAAATGAAAGTTATCAGTGGGAAAAAATTGTTTTAATGATAAAATTAAGTGGTTTCAGTGGGAAAGTGTATGTTTTATTGGGAAAAGTGGGAAAATATAGGCTTTAATGGGAACATGAACATGGAGGTTTTGATTGGAAAATGGACGGTTTTATGGGAAAATGTAAGTTTATAATGGGACAATTTAGGTTTTAGCACGAAAAGGGAATGGTTTCAGTGGGAAATTTTAGGTTTTAATATGTTTTATACAATGGAAAATTAGGGTTTCAATGGGGAAATATAAGTTTTTTAATGGGAAAATGAATTGTTTTCACCGGGAAAATGAAATGTTTCAATTGGAAAATGCATGATTTTTCAGTAGGAACATTTATGTTTTTAATGTCAAAATGAAAGGTTCTCACTAGGGAAATGGATGGTTTTCAGCTGGAAAATTGTTTTTTTTCAGTGGAAATTTATGTTTATCAGTGAGAAAATGGAGGTTTTCAATGGGAAAATGAAATTGTTTCACTCAAAAAATCGAAGTTTTTCAGTCAAAATATGGATGTTTTCAGTGAAAATTGGAGATTTAAATGGGAAAATGGAAGGTTTTCACTTGGACAATGAACATTTTCAGTGGGAAAATGCATGTTTTTCAGTGGGAAAATGGCGGTTTTCAGTGGGAAAATTAAAATGTTTTAACGTTTTTTTTGTTTTCAGTGGGACAAAATAGGTTTTAATGGGGAACATGTATGGTTTAATGGGTATATACTGATCCTATATGGTTTGGACCACTGGACATCATGATGCATCCAAAATGATTTTTCCTATATACAGTATATTTAAATATATATATATACACATTACATTACATCTATGTACATTATTTAAGTTACATTAATATCTATTACATCCAAGTCATGTGATGTTGGACGCCCGGGTTTTTCGCCACGGGACGCGAGGCCGAGGGCAGTTGTGGCAAGCGCGGCGCACACAACGGGTGGTGGCGCTTGGAGTAGGCCTCGTTCTCGCCCACCTAGCAGCGGAGGCTGGGTTGGGTGGTGCCAGTGGGAGATGTTACCATATATAGATGGTATATTGAGAATAAATATCAAATTAACAAATATGTATATATATATTACATATATTATATACGTATAAATGGTAATATAGTATACCAGTGGTACCGCTCAAGGCGGTGGCGGAAGTTTCAAAAATAGGAAACCTGTAGGAGAAGTGAGTTGCTGTGATGCATGGATGGCAGAGCGAATCCACTGATGGACCGAAAGGTGGTTGGAGTTGTGCTTTTTGGGGTGGTTGCGGTGGTTGCAGTGGTCACCTCACCCACAACTCCTGGATGAAGTATGGCGTCGTGCAGTTGTAGTTCTAGTTGCGCAGTTGTAGTTGTAATTGTAGTGGAGCTGTAGTTATAGTGTAGTGTAATTAGTGTAGTGTAGGTGTAGTTGCAGTTGTAGTTGTGGTGTTGCGTAATTGATGTAATGTAATGTAATGTAATGTAATGTAATGTAGTGTAATGCAGTGTAGTGTAGTGTGGGTACTTTAGTGTGGTATATATAGTGTAGTGTAGTCTAGTGTAGTCTAGTGTCAAGTAGTCTAGCCGTAGCTGTAGTCGTAGTTGTAGTTAGTGTAGTGTAGTGTGGTGCGGTGGAGTGCAGCGTAGTGGAGTGTAATTAGTGTAGTACAAGTAGCGTAGTGTAGTTGTAGTTGCAGTGTAGTGTAGTGTAATTAGTGTACTGTAGTGTTGTGTAATGTAGTTGTAGTTGTACTTGTAGTGTAGTGTATGTAGTGTAGCCCAAGTAGTGTAGTGTAGTGTAGTGACATGTAGCGTAGTTGTAGTTGCAGTTATAGTTGTAGTTGTAGTTGTAGCTGGAGGAGTAGGAGTATGAGTAGGAGTAGGAGGAGTAGGCGTAGTACTACTAGTAGCAGTAGCAGTAGCAGAAGCAGTAGCAGCAGCAGCAGCAGCAGTGGTGGTGGTTGTTGTGGTAGTAGTAGTAGTAGTAGCAGTAGGAGTAGGAGTAGGAGTAGGAGTGGGAGTAGTTGTTGTAGTAGTAGTAGTAGTGGTGGTGGTAGTAGTAGTAGTAGTAGTAGGAGTAGTAGGAGTAGTAGGAGTAGTAGGAGTAGTAGTAGTAGGAGGAGGAGTAGTAGTACTAGTACTAGTACTAGTAGTAGTACTAGTACTAGTACTAGTACTAGTACTAGTAGTAGTAGTAGTAGTAGTAGTAGTAGGAGTAGTAGGAGTAGTAGGAGGAGTAGTAGGAGTAGTAGTAGTAGGAGGAGTAGTAGTACTAGTACTAGTACTAGTAGTAGTACTAGTACTAGTACTAGTACTAGTACTAGTACTAGTAGTAGTAGTAGTAGGAGTAGGAGTAGTAGGAGTAGTAGGAGTAGTAGGAGTAGTAGGAGTAGTAGTAGTAGTAGGATGAGTAGTAGTACTAGTACTAGTACTAGTAGTAGTACTAGTACTAGTAGTAGTAGTTGTTGTTGTTGTTGCTGCGGTGTAATTAGCATGGTGTACTGTACTTAGTGTAGTGTAGTGTAATTAGTGTAGCGTAGTTAGTGGTGTGTAATGTTGTGTCGTTGAAGTTGCCTTGATATTTGTAGCTGTAGCGTGCTGCAGTGTAATTAGTGCAGTGTAGCGTAATGTGGTGTAGTTGTAGTTGTAGCTGTGGTAGAAGTAGTTGCTGTAGTTGTAGTGTAATTAGTGTAGTGTAGTGTAGTGTAGTGTGATTAGACGTAATTAGCGTAGTGTAGTGTAATTAATGTAGTGTAATGTAGCGTAGTTTATTTGAATTGTAGTAGTGTAGTGTAGTGGTAGTTTTAGTTGTAGTTGTCTATCTATCATTATCTATCTATCTATCTATCTGTCTATCTGTCTAGCAGCAATCTGCAAGCTTGAGAACCAAGCTATTCTGCGAGACGTCCTCAGATTCTGAACTTGACAACAAGAAAACGCGGCAATTCTGCGCGACTTCCTCAATTTTCAAGGTTGACAACATCAAAAACGACGAAATTCTGCGAGACTTCCTTCAGAAATGGAAAGTTGAGTGCAGAGTTGACGGCCTCATGCCAATGCGTTTTACCTTTTTTCCACTCCATTGTTGCTATGGTTTCGTCACTCCACGAGCCAGAGATCGCAAGTGGGCGGACCACTCTGTAAAATGCCTCCTGGAGGTCAATGAAAAGCACCGCCGTACCCGTACTTCGCTATGCTTGACTTATGTAGGGACTCGAGAAAAATACAACGCGCGCAGTGCGCAGGCAAATCATAGAAAACACTCCATGGAAGAAACGATGGTAGAACCATAGATGGAACAAAGCAAGGGATACAGGCAAACTCTTGAGGCCCCCTGCGCAAACCACGTGCCATCATTGCTGCAAAAGTGATCATCGACGTAAAAGCCCCTGGGTTGTCCTCTGGAGGCAAAGAGTCGCAAGAAGGCCCTTACTAAGTGGCCTCCAACCACTGGAAGGTTCAACAACCTGAGAAAGACAGTGAACGGCCCACCAGAAATGCACAACGGCGAGCCGAGACCTGTCGTTCGAGAACAAAAATCCGGAATTTCATCCCCACCTCGCTGGTAGACAAATACAAAAAGAGCTGGGCTACAAACCCAAAGGCATGCCGTGGTGACAGCTAGAGCTCTTGGAAACATGCTGTAACCCGAGGGCCCTAAGCCTAGCTGAAGGGTAGATCCAATTTCACCATACATTTGGCAGGAATGTTTGTTTTTGCAACCCGCATTATATGGTTACCTAATATGGTTACCTAATATGGTTAATATGCTTATGTAGAACAATAAAATATGAGAAAAAACAATACTTCACTCAGAAACCTTCACTTAAAAATTATCGGCTTTGAATGTGTTGCAAACCACGGAACTACCTATAGAAACAACTTAATGCTGGTCCTGGTTGATTTGAGGGTGAAGTTGGCATTTTTCTTGTTGGTTTCCCCTGCGGATTTCATGGTGGAAATGCTGGAAAAATTGCTGATGGCTGAGTGACTTCCTAGATCAGCCACCATTTGTTCACCATTTTTTGGTATTTCCACCATATACAAATTTGGAAATATACAGTAATTTGTTGGTAGTGCATATATATATATTATTGTTATTATTATTATTATTATTAAATATATATATATTATACATGTATACCTAATTTCACATGATACATACATACATATAGACATATATACTTGTCAAATGTATAAGTCAGTTCCCACTGATTATAGTTTTACTCGATGACTCAATGTACTCACTACCATTCTCAGTGGAATATCATTTGATTATAATTAATCTATCATGACATGTCATGGCAATGCATCATCATTAGATTATCGCTGAGGATCATTAGATTTTAATATGTAACAATATATCATGATATTTCGTCATTATAGTATATTTAGCAATAATCATATCCTGTAACCGAAGGAAGTTTAGAAGTCAAACTTCCGACAATATGGACAGATGGAAAAGCAGAGGTGGTAAGAGTCAAAGAAGACAAGAAAGAAGAGAAGAGAAGAGAAGAAGAAAGAACATCAAAAAGATAAAGTCTCAGAAGAAAGACGATCCAGGTGCGCAAAAAGGTAGGAAAGCCGCGAAACACTGTGTTTTTCCAATGATTTGTGGCTCCGGAGGGTCGAAAAGTAGGCTCGCTAAAGCGGCGGGTGCAGAGCCATCTGGCCAGATGAGAAATGAAAAATTGCACGCCGTTGTGGCGCGAAAAACATTTGGAAGTCAAAATGTTAAATAACATATCATGTTCGGACCACTTTTGGACGTTCCAATGTCGTTTCGCGTGGCAGCTTAAGGGATTGTGCACAGTGTCGAAAGTCAGCAAAAAGTGAGCGTTTTGTAGCAGTTTCAAAAACATTGGCAGGAGTGTGACATTTGAAGAGGATCTGCAAAGAGGCATTTCGCGTGGCAGGCGCAGCACAAGAGACATGTTTATCAGAAAGGTTAGGAGGTCCGGGCGCGGATTTCCTGAGAGGGGTTAAATTTTGGAGCATCAGATCTTCAGGTTTGGTAAGATGAATTTGTGTGACAGGTGCAGCACTTCGTATGACCTGGCGTCACTTTTTCGTGGCAGGCGCAGTAGTTTAAACAGATGATGTTCAGATGACGTCCGTTGATCATCGGGGATGGTGGCAGAGCGCGACCGATTTCCAGCCCCAAAAAATGCCCACGATCAAAACGCAATGGGCAGAATGGGCAGACACGTTCTATTGCCATATGTTACCATAATTGAATTATAATATCTTTCTATATGGCAATAGAAAATATTGCCATATGATATGCATATCACAATTTATCATATGTTCTCATCATTCTATTCCCATTCATTCAACCACCATTTTGTATGCTTTAATCCCCATGACATCCCCAGGACGTTGTGCCATGGCCGGAAAAAAACACGCCCAGCGACATGTCGGTAGCGTCGGAATTCCACCGTACCCGTGGAGGTCAAAAACACCGCGGGTTCCGCCGCCACAATCCCTCCATGGACGGAGACGAGGGAGGGAAACGTTGTCGTGTGTGTGTGTGTGTTGGCCAACACAAATTCTTGGTGATAGGTGAGCGTAATGTGTAGATGTGTATATATATATATACACGCATATATATTATGTGGAGGTTTTCTAAAATGAGGGTATAGTATGGATATGGATATTAATGGGATATACCATCTATGGTCATGTCTTGAGTGATGGGGGATCCCCTAGTCACCATGGGTTTCAATACAACAATGATACGATCGAATGACTTGGATGCTTTGGTGTATCACTTTTTGAGGACATAAGCATGTCCAAGATAAGTCTAATCCAACTGTAGCAGTGATGAGTTTCAAAAAAGAAGCTATATATTTATTGACTGGCTATCAGATGGGGTTTTACCATGTTTTACCTTGTTTCTTGGCGATAGTTATAGCACATTACAAGCCATGATACGGACAATTATTCACCAACCATCACTGTGGGATGGGGAAGAAATATTCTTCAGCTCAGATGGGTTTGAGAAACAACCCAATCGGGGAACAACCACGCTGGGACGTAATCCGATATGAGTGGACATTCTGCAGCTCCGAAAATGGAAAATACATGAACATATCTCAAACTGGCAATCAAAACAGGGTTTCATCATCTTTCATCTGGGATCGAATGGGATTGTCTAATTTTAGTGATTCTGGGATATCACGTGATACAATGGTAGTGGGTGTATAGTAGTTTTGAAAATTATATAGGGCCGGGTTATAGTTATCATTACGAGATTTGATGGTCGGAAAAGGTATATGGATGGATTGCCCATTTAACTTGAAGTAACCACCAAAGTTTCAAGTGAACTATCCACCGCGGGGTCAAACAAAAAGCTTGTATATCATTGTATATCCTCCTCATCTATGGCAAGAGACTATAATGTTGGATTGACTTACCCAAGAATCTTTACCCATAAAAAAAACACCATAAGAATGTTCGTTTTTAGGAAGACTAAACCAGCCATATCACATCATTTGTAATGGTTTTACTAATGTTTGTACCACCATGTATACCAGGATGGTTTACTAATTATGGTAAATTTGGGGATGTTTTACTAATGTTTTACTAATTATGGTAAATTTGGGGATGTTTTTTTTTATATATATATATATCTTAATACTATGGCTTTACTCACATGAGATACGTCTGATGAACAGCCCAACATTGGGGATTTCTTGATCCCATCTGCCATCATTGGCCAGAGTCGAAGCCCGGCCTTCGTACATAAACTCATAGTTCTCCGGAAACACGCGCTTCCTGGGCACTTTTTCAGAGACATATGGGATCATATGGGGATGGGTTGGCTGGCAGCCTGGTACCTAGTGTACCGTGCCGTGAAGCCCAAGTCATAGCTGGGATTTATGGATGTGAATAACCCACTAAAAATGTATCTATAGGTATTGACCCATACCCATATCTTGTGCTGTCGCTTTGGGACTTGGAGATTGAAGTCGTAGAGTCGTACACATTTTGTACCCTGGGGTGAACTCACCAAAAAAATGGCAGAAACCCCATGGTTTACCCTGGTGAAAACAAAAATCATGAAAACCTCAGCTGGAATTGAGTTTGATGGTCGGCACATGTCTCATGTCTCCGACTGCTGATGATTTAGGTGATGGTTTCTCTGCCATGTCCCAACGCTGTCTCAACCATGCCAAGTACAACGATGCGACCCCTCACTTGCAAGGCCCTAACAAAAGTTGTTTGGTTCGTGTCAGCCACAAAGTGAATGAACAAGATCTCGCAAGTCTCTGGTCTGGTTTCGACACTTATCAAAGGCACAACATCAACCAAACAAGCGGTGGAACCTGCTGATTGTCGACTGCACAATCGTCAAAGAGTTAAAACTCCAGACAAAAGATTGCGCCTCATCATGGAATTAATGCTTCTATATGGCTACTGGTCAAGTCACCCATGGAATCCCCTTCTGTTCAAACTAAAATAGCTTGGTCAAAATGGATATTAATCTCCACAAAAATTGGATTTCGTATTCATCCATACCCACATATCGTTCCATTAAAATTTGAATTCCATGTGTAATAGTCATATTGTGTCGCTCCAACACCTGTGCGAATTGGAAGCCTGGAACCCAATTTTAGCGTTTTTCTTGGCGGTGGTGGCAAAGCTAAGCTACCACTCAACTAAGTGAGGTGCCAAAGGAACCGCAATGTTTTGCTATATGGCTGTGTCTGGGAATGGGATATAGATATATAGCATGGTAAACCCCCAAATGGCAGTTTTTCCTTTGGAAAATGATGTCTAACCATTTGTCCATTTAGGGTGCTGATGATTTTGACCTATCCCCACATGAATAGCATCATGCGTATCATGTCCCTGAAGATGGAGTAGAACTGCCCAGCCATTTCTTTACATCGCGAAACAGCACGGCTAAGCCGTGCTGTTTCGCACCGAAAAAATCCCCGGTTTTATTTTTCGGCCGAGGCGCTGAAAATGCACGCAAGGGTGGCCTCCGGAATACTCCCGTTTTCTGCAGCCAGGTAAATGTGTATCAAAAAACTTCATCATCTGCAGATGATCGTACATCACCTCTTGGAACGTCTCCTGCAGGCGTGGTATGTAGGGATTGATGTAGTGGTTACCCGGCCTGGTAAACGTTTACATCACTATGGAAAATCTACATGTTCAATGGGTAAATCCACTATAAATGGCAATCTCTAATAGCTATGTTAAATTACCAGAAGGTAAGATTGTCAATTAATTGACTCCCAGCAAGAGGCAGTCCTTGCTAACCACCATGAATTTGCAGTCCGTTGCACCTGAGTGTAGCGGATAACTGGTCGTTTAACTGGCAGCGACACGGTTTGTGGATCCATGATGATAATGATGATGATGATGATAATGATGATGATGATGATGACGAAAAATAGTCAGACTTGGGAGCATCGGCCATTTTTCGACAGGGGCAGTCACGTACATGTGCAGGAATGACTATACAATTGATGATGAATATAAGAATATATAAGACATACTGTAGCTGGACAAAATCCTGCACCAGTTGGTACTGTAACTATTGAATAACTATGAAACACAGTGTAAATAATTGGATCATAATGGGATTTCTACATATTTCTGCCATCTACCAACTGGTGCAGGGTTTCGCAACCATCCACGGTATCATTGGTTCGTAGAACAAACATAGCTGAACATCCATTAAAAAAAAAAAACGCCCAGTTTGCCAAATCCTCAGGAAGTTCTCACTGGAGAATCATATGTTTTTGGGTTAATACCCAAATCCAATGGTTCATCATTCTCCTTGTTAAAGGGCTATATTGGGGGTATCCATGGGTATACAACATTTTCAACCCATATGTTGTGTTCTTGTTTGTGTGCGAATGTTGTCTAATTGATGTAATAATAGCCATGCCTACACATGGTGTAGCATTGGAGAAACAGTGAAACACATGAGCCAAAAACCAATCCTGCACGCCCACCAGTTATGTTTCCCCGTGCAAATCCGCCTGGCGCTGTAAGTGACATGTGGCTCTGTAAATGGGTTACCTCAAAAGTTGGTGGTTTATCATCCCCCATTCAAATCCCCATAAGTTGGGGTCATGACCACCATCAATTTCATGATTTAAACCTGATTTTTTTTCCTTAAACATGGACATGACATCTGGTATGATTATATTATATGTCATGGTCAACGAAATCCAGCACCCATCACACCCTCCGTTTCTGGATCAAACTGTGCCGCCCAATGGTTCATCATCCCTAAAAACGCCATAATTGGATATAATTGGGGCTAGTCTAGCCCATTTTCAGATATTTTAAGAAATTCTAAAAGGTTGGAATAGCCAATTTTAAAGAATGTTTAAGATATCTTAAGAATTCTGACAGTAAGACACATCCAAGTGACATTTCACGGTCGCTGCTCGCGCGTCGTTGTTTTGCAGGGCCAGTTCTCCCACGATGGCGCCAGATTTCAGTTGGACAACACCTGGGGGGCTCCTGGCTCCTGTGAGGTCTGTGTTTTATGGTGATTAATTTAGTGACTAATCAGATATATATATATATATTGATATTAGTGATTAATCTATCAGTGATCTATTAGTAATATATTAATTACATTTAATAAGAAACATAGGGGAAACATGTCTATAACCCATAGGATCCATGGTGCTGGTATATATATGCTAACATGACTGGGGTATACTTAGTCTGATTAATTACTTTGTCTGGTTGGTGGTAGACCTACCCCTCTGAAAAATATGACTTCGTCAGTTGAGATGATTATTCCCAGTATATGGAAAAATAAAAAATGTTCCAAACCACCATTTTCCCATTTTCTGATGCGGCCAGCAGTAGTATCGACTGCCGCCCGTCTTGGGCAATCATGCTACCATGGATGAAACATAAAAGGGTGGAAACCTGTCATCGTACACGGCGTATGGCAGAGAATCGATGATGCGTGCTTGCCGTCTGAAAGTTGTTTGACATCGGCTATGCATCCATTCATCAACCCAAGCTAGCCGGTCGGCCGGCCAAGGCAACGCGGCACATCCGGTGTGCATCAGAACAACTTTAGAACTCGGTTTTCCGTAGGCATACTCAACCGCAATACCAGCATGCTTCAGTGTTGTTTTCCAACAACGAGCAAACCAGCGAGCGCGTTGTCGGAACGCATAGCCACGCATCTGCAACCCTTGGATGTTCTCACCATCTTCCCATTTGGTGGTATGGACCGGACCTGGATGGCCTGTAGCACACATGAAATCCACGTATAATTGGAAGTGTGAAACCCAAACAAGCTCAGAACTGCTGCCATAAACAACCTGCCAAAACCAGCTCAAGAGGATGCGAACCATGCTGTCCCCGTACCATCTGATGGCTTTGGACGGGAGGCAGAGTTCAGGCAACTGGCGCCAAACCTTAAGCGGTGGTGGGAGAGAAGTTTCTTGCGGGGGTTGGTCAACAGCAATGGGTTGGTCCAAACGCACAACTGCTTGACTGATCTGAAGCTGCACCCTCTGGACACCCCTGTTAATCTTCGCAATGCCTTCACAAGCCAAAAGGTGACGCCCATGCAGTTCCCAGAATTCTGAGTGTCTAGCAAAATTTGCACGCTGGGCCTCACGATCAGCCAAATCATTATGTCTGAAGCACCATTCATCAAGGAAATGGCATGCATGGCCTTCCGGCTGGTGTGCCGAAACATGTGTAATGGCCGTGGGGGCCTCTCGATCCACAACACACTCGGCAATTTCCCTCCATAGATCAGAGTGCGCTGCATTTGGCTTCACTTGCGCACCATGCAGTATTCGTCGCAGTCTCTTGACCACGATCTCGCTATCACTCCAAATCATGACTGGTTGGTGTATGCGGCGAACAATTTGCAAAACTCTCAAAACAGCAAAAATTTCAGCTCGCACGGAGCTTTGTAGCAGCCCAGGCAGGACTCCTGAGTCGACGATTTCACTGTCTGTGTAGTCATGCACGGCATTGGTTGCAGCATACACAATGGCCCAACTAGCAAACCGTTGCTGGGGGCTCTGCTGGTCATGACAGCTACCATCCGTAAAGAAGTTGAGTGTGCCCCTTCTTTCAAAAGATGGGGTCTCATGGACCTCAAGGCCAGCAAAATAACTGTCCCATTCCCATTGGGTGGTTGGCGCGAGAGACCATCCTGAGCATGTCAAAGCATCTGGTAGATCGGCAATCATCTCCAAAAGCTTTACAGGGGTGTCATTGCGAGCAAAATCAAAATGTTCACATACCCAAAAACGGTGAAACCTGCTGTCGCTACAATTGCAGTATGGGCATACATCATCTGTACTTTCTTGACAGTAGTGTTTGCCATCCTGTGTCACATGTGTTCCATTAAGCAGCTTTCGAAATAGAGCCTGGTCAGACCCACACAATGTTGAGAGCCATTGGCGGGTATCCTGCGGATCGATGCGGTCCAATCCCTGAAAACAAGGCCTATGGCGTACCGCAGCATGAGCAACAAGTGGCCATTGGAGTGCAACCCGAAACTGTAATTCAGCACATGAAATGCGAAAGAGTGAAAAAGTGCCCAATACATCAACAATCTGTCCTTGCTGATCTATATGCCATCCCAGGCACTGTATTCTGGTCAACAAAGTATGGGTGATGCTATTGCCAGGAAGGTTGGCATCCCCAAACACCAAGTTGGCAAGGACTTCTTCAACACGACGCTGGTCCCCACAGTCCCTGGCAAGCCGAAAAGTTTGCAGGATCGTCCAGGCTTGAGGGTCAAGCTCTGGGCTCTCTATTAAACCTAAGTGCACCAGTGCATTGGCTCCTGCGGCATCGGATTTCAGACCTCTCAACGCGCCTGCACGAAGCGTTGTGAATGTGGACTGGCTCACGGTTGTGGCAGCCACAGCATGCAGACATCTTGGCCAGGCTGCGCTTTTTATGGCACGGATCTTTTGAAAGTAAGGACAGGCCGACAGGCGCAACTTCTGCCATAACGGTTGGGCAAGCTTAATGCGCTCCATAAGGCATTTATTGGTGTGTTGCCTAGTGAATTGCACGTGGGCCCCAAGGTTCTTACTGTACGCCACAGTGCCGAAGCCCTGTGAACGGAGCTCATTTCTTCCCTCGGCGGACACTGACCAAACATGAGTTTTGCGGTGATCTAGCAGAAGGTCCAAGGCCTCCGTAAACTTGCCTAGACACTGGAACACATCACGCATGCAGCTGGGGTCAGCAACTAACACCTGCCAGTCATCGACATAGGACAACGGCTGGCAAAGAGGGAAAAAGTGAACCATCCATTCGTGAAACAAGATGTCAATGACCATCATCCCTAGGCACGAGAGTGCACATCCCTCGGGCAGGCCGCATGTGCTATATGCCGGCGGACTCAAGCTACCATTGACCTGAAATCTTCTGGTCATTTCAGACAAGGCTCCTGACCAGCCCCTCAGCACATCAAAGGGGATACCTATCAAGGCACATCCTTCCATGATGACTGTACGTGGAAGGAAATTGAATGCTTTTTGAATGTCAGCAATGATTCCGCTCAGGGGGGAGGCCTGTTCGTAGGCCATTTCGATGGACCAAAGCAACTGGGACCAGATCTGCCCTGCGTAACGCTGAGGTCGACTACCAAACAGGCCTAGTGGCAAGTCGGAGTCTATGGCCCGGATTGCATGTCTAGCATGATGTGTCCCCCAGCACCGATACAGGATACTAAAGATCGTAATCGGGCGGAAATCCAATGCTGTCTGAGGCTCTGCTGTTTTGGCTAAGCAAGAGACACGTCCCGCAGTGATTTGGGAGGGCCATCTGCCCGTGGCCTCAGCCTCTTGATACATGGAAATGAAATTGGTCAGTGCCGCACGTGGCATCGCTTGCAAATCACGTAGTGACACACCATCCAATCCGCCTGAAGTGGCTCGATTCTTATGTTGGATACAGGCAGCCAAGGTGTCCTCATCAAGTGAAGGCCATACCAAATTGCGGAAACGTAGTTTACTTCTAGCAAACTGAAGGATCGTGTCCCAACGGTCGGGTGAGACATTACGGTGTCGATCCCACATCATTTTCCAAGCATCAAGAAACATTGCAAACAGTTCCTCGTCAGAGCCTTTGCATTGGGTCTGTGCAATGGTATCTCCCGGGCCAACCTCGGAGACATTCTGGACCCACAGGGCATCAGCTTCAGCATGGATAACCTCTAACTGGGTTCCTTTGCAGTAGATGGGCTTAGTTATGTCAAATGAGGCCGGTGGGTCGATCACAACTTCAAGGTGATGGGCATCAACGCGCTCAACCTTAGTTTGGATTGGTTTTACCAGCACATTGACTCCTCTGGTCTGCGGCATTTTGAGGTCTTGGAAAATCAGGTTGGGGTTTGTCTCACGTCTTTGCTGTGCATAGGCACGTGAGGCTTTATGCAAGTCTTGTTCGAAATGTCGGAAGGCCAAAACAAATGAATCAAAGATTGCCAAAGCACACTGTTCATTCGGGGGGATCACCGGAATGGTGGGGCATGTTCCCACTGCAACATGTGGATTATGGGGCCACCATTCCTCAAAAGAGGGGGTGAAACCAGTAGCCCTCACAATAGAACCCCAGATTTGTCTCGCCTGATCTGTATGCTCATTCTGAGCCTGCACATGACGCACATAGGCCTGTAAACGGCGAACTTGCCGTAGCCATTGGGAATGCCTGAAGGATGCGCAAACATACTGTGGCCTAATATCACCAGGTCTCCCCTTTTTGGGAGGGGGAATTTTACCATCAACTTTACCCTTGACATTAGTGGTAGTTGCACGGCCAATTGCTTTTGCGGGAACCGGAAAAGGCAATTTCTTACAAGCATTTGTTTCAATGTGTTGCCACAACATCTTATATTTCACATCAGGGTCAGCCGTGGCTTGGGTCCAAAAGTCAGGATTGACATTCCATGTATCCGGCCATGGCATATCGGCTGGTGAAATCCAAATCTGGCGCGGTGGCAGCAAAGACAAGCTGTGAAACTTGCCAAACACTACAGAATGATCTGGAAACACGTCATGTTGGACATGCACTGATCTCAAAAGTGCTTGAAGTTCTCGTGAAACGTAACAGTAATCCTTGCGTGTGCTGTGCTTGCACGTGTGTGAGACAGGTTGCCCCCACATGTCATGCGCAAGGTCTTGCAAATCACGAAAACCTGCAGCTTCGAGCAGCTCAAAAACAGGCAGAGAGTTCTTCACACTGTTCCAATCACCAGCCAGAAAACGTGGTCCCCCTGCTAGGTGGCAAACATGTCCGGCCACATGATGTAACAGCTCTTCGTTGTGAGCCTTATAGTGGGGGTACGTGCTGCTCTCAGGTTCCCCATACACGGTGCCCCCCGTAAGCCAAACATTACCTACCAACGTCGTGGTGATCAGGGTCCTAGATGATTCCTGAATGGCAGCTGGCATGGTATGTGGCACTTCGCGTGTAGGAAACTTGGAGAGGACTGCAACACCTCGCCAT